ATTCATAAAGGGGGTTCGAGATAAGATGTCCAGATTTATAGGCCCCTCTCCCTGACATATATGCAAATTAAGGGAACATATAATTTACTCAGCTATCATGAGTCACCTCACGGAGAACAATATCCTAATTAAAGAAAAGCATGGTTTCCACAAGGGCTTGACCTTCACAACACAACTTGTAGAATTCTATCACGATTTAGGAAGTGAAATTGATGTTGAGGGCCGGATAGATTGTTTGTTTTTAGATTTTCGGAAAGCTTTCAAAGAATAGTTATACATAGAGATGACATCAAATGGATTGAAAATTACTTATCGGAGCGCAGTCAGTGTGTTTGATATACATAAATGTACATGTGTTTTTGATACACATAGTGCTTTAATATATATAGTGTTTTTGATATACATAAATGGTAAAAGTTTGGGTATTACGTCCTCAGAGCGACTTTTCGCAGATGACTGCGTGGTGTACTGAAGTATATCTTGGGATGATGCGACAGCATTACAGGGAGACTTGAACAGAATACATGATTGGTGTAAACAGTGGAAAATGTGTTTACACGTGAAAAAGTGAATCGATATGTGTTTTACTAGAAAGAAAAAACCACTGATAGATAACTATTCTATAACTAAGGAGTTCCTCACCGCAGTTAATGTCTCCAATTACCTAGGCATCATGTTTTCTGCTGATTGTTCATGGAATGCGCACATCAGTGATACAGTTGGTAAGGCTGGATGGGCACTGAACTTTGTTCAACGAAACCTAAGATGTTGCGAGCTTGAATTAGAACGGAATGCGTTTACTAAGACCAATATTAGAGTACGCCTGCCAATTATGGGATCCATCGGCAGCCAGTCTCACTTCTCAGATAGAAGGTATTCAAAACAGAGCAGCCAGGTACGTCCTGGGCAGGTACCGTAGAATGGACAGTGTCACAACGATGAAGCAAGAATTGAATTGCGAATCGTTGTGTTTGCGACAACAGAAGTTAAGGCTGAAACTGTTTTTTCAAATATATAACAAGGTAGGCATAAACAGGGATAGTTATTTAAATACACTTTTTTATGTTTCTATGCGTAATGATCCCGAACACAAAATACGTGAATACCAGCCCAGGACGTGCATGTTTGCCAATCCTTATTTTCTGAAGTGTATAGCCGAATAGAACAAACTTGCTGAAAAAACTGTATATTGTGCAAATGAAGACTTATTTGTGACCTCCCCTGCTGTAACACCCAAGGGCAATGCGGGGTAATTCTGGAATAATATATATATATATATAATACATGTTTGGTCCACCATCTAACACGTCTTGAGGACGATGGCAGCCGGAAGAAAGCAAATGTAACATGTCACATTGAAGGCCAAATGAAGTAGCGCCATTTCTGTCAGATTGCCGAAAGCCTTAAAATATGTGCCATTTAAAATCCGAAATGCGAGACTTGCGTATTTTAAGAGAACAAATAAAGAAAAGGTGGTTACTTGGGGTCACCCCCATGCAGGAAAGAGTTAACGCGCACCTAACTCTAAAGCACTCGAACCTCCAGCATTTCACCTCCATTTAAGTGCAGCCACCGTGGCAGAGATCAAAACACTTAGCCTGCGTGAACCAACAGAAAGTGCATCACAGGTAAAACAGCTACAGTTTGTGATAGGTAACAGTCCATCAGGCCATTGAGTGCTGTTGGCCTGTTAACCATGTGAGCCAGGTCTTCGCAATGTACTGTCTCCCCCCCCCCCCCCTCGCACACAGGAGCCTCGCAACGAATGAAACCGAGATATGGCTCATCGAAAACGTTAGCTAAAGTAATATACATCAGTGCACCTTTCCAAAGTACCATTGAGGACCTTTAGGCTCAGCACAAAATATAACGACCAGCTTTTTTTTTTTCGAAAACATTACACTAACTTCATTTCTCAGTACAGACAGCACTACCAACGAGTCATAGCGGCAGTCAGTGCCCTTCATGAGTGCCTTTGCCGCTGATTGATGGCTTGCACTGACGTCACAGGAAAAGCCATGTTGGTGCACCAGCATGCGGAGACGGGACATTTTCCGTTGTCACATTAATGCTATCGAAAAATCACATGCAGTTTATTGCATGCGAAGCAGCTTATGGTGGAGGTCTACACGGTGTGCGGCGTGACCACCCTTACGGCGCATGCGCAACAGCTGGCCCAAGCACTGTCAGAATGCGCTCAAGCATTCCGGCCTCTGCAAGGGGCTGGGTAAGACGCTGTGGCGTCTCCCCCAAACGCTTTCTCAGCAATCACGTGATGGCATCGGGGAATGAGATTCTGCAGACCCGCGATGAACGCATGTGCTTCCACATGGTGTGGCAATGAACTTGCGTAGCGTGCTTCAACAGGAGTTCGGGACGAGTGACAGCAACAGAAACTGCAGTATATTCGTGGTGTGCTCCTCTTGCAAGGTCAAGGTGCCCGTAATGACCCGAACTTTAAAGTCCACCCATGCGCTGCTTCGCATGCTACTGATGGTTCCCTTGATGGGAGATGATGTAATTTCATTCACGCAAAAAGACGTTCCTGCCGCATCATTTTCTCAATTTGTTTTTCTTCAAAGTCACCATAGTAGAGTCTCAGTTCCTTTCAAAAGCTGTGTCCATGACGACACGTGCAAGCAATCTATATCAACATGGGCAATTCGGCGTGCTACTAGTCAGCAAGCAGAATTATTGCCTCGCCAAGTGGCTCGCCAACTTACCACGCGCAACGATAGGTGAGCAAACACCTTTACTCTGTCCTCCCGAAGATGTCTGGCAAAACCCATCTAACATGACACCAAAATGCGCATGCGCACACACTTACCCACCTGCCCGCCGCCATAAAGGATTACTGACACAATTTTGAGTATTTGAAAGAGAGACATTTTTCGTTTCCTTGGTAAGCCCTGTTAACACCCTCCACACACTGGTCTGCCAGCACATATAAAATTTTTTCTTTGATTTTCAAGTTTTCATTAGCGATCATCGAGTCCTGTTTTTATTGATGCCCTGTAATTCCAATTCTTGAATTTTAACCTACTTTATGTTCTTGGTCTGGAATTGCCATTGTGTATCCTTGTTCGACCCCCCCCCCCTTATGTAATACCCCGTCAGGGGCCCTTAAGGAAAAATAAATGATGATGATGATAAGCATGCCAGCCACACCGCAATGGACACTATCCCGACAAGTAGATTCGTGGCATCTTCAGCTGAGGTGCACTGGCACCGTGACAATGGAAGGGAAGTTACGCAAAACACCGCCCGAGTTTCACGCCCCACTACGGGCCAGTCAAACGTGTGAACCACAAGACTCGAATCCACGACAGCAGCGCCATCTGCGAGAGACGCGTCTCAGCAGAGGTCAGTTTCCAACGTCCTGTATGTACCAAGAATAAAAGAGCAACGTTTAAGTAAATATATTTTTCACCAAAAAAGTACTCTGGTGCACTTAGTTTATTGTAATGCATAGCTTTTATTTTTAAAAAATGTGAAATGTTATTTTTTAGGATTTTGCCTGATGTTACTACTAATTAACCATGTGTATGAAACAACAAAAAATGATTTTTTTTGTCACTTTATGTCCCAAAAAAATAAGACATTTCTTTTTGAAAAAAAAAAATCGCCCAAATAATTAATTTCAGCCATAAACAAATTACAATTTTTCGCATGCATGTTGAGAAAGATTTGACCTTGAAAGGGTTAATGAAGCCATTCAATTGGTTACCAGAAGAAGAGTTGCAGGGACCCTTTATTATGCCGTACAGAAAGTGCTGCTGCTGTTATTTACTAGCACGACAGGGTTGGGGATGCATTACCAAGCGAGCGCAAGATCAACTAGGACAGGACCGGGTCTTTAGCTGCGACTCTGAATTTTCAACAAGATGTTCAGTGCCGCAACCACTATGCTTTATTAGTGCATGAAGATACGCACTGCAGTCATTAGAAACGTAAACTGCAGCATCCACAGCTGGTCAACGAAGTGGCACAATTCATATAAAGAGCACGCACAAGAGAAAAAAGTGTGCCCTAAAAATGCTTTCTGTGCTAACAAATGCTACTAAGCATGCACAGTATTTAGTGCAGTTCTAATTAGCTTAGCCTTTTTCAATAATGCAGTAATTACGAATACAAAGTTATCAGCAGTTCGCTGCCACAGTGCTTAAAACCGAGAAAGTCCCTGAAAAATAACTGAAGTTGCACCATACACATCAGTGTACAGGCAACTCCTCTCGTGTGCTTTGTAGACTACAAAGTTGTGCTGAGCAATGATGCTTCCAGACCATGGTTCTCGGGCTGAAAAAGGGGATTGTGCTACTTCTGCACTAAAGCACCCAAGAGGAGGGGCAATTGCAACGATCCGCGAAATAAAGACTGCAATGACGATAACTACGACAATGCAATAGAAAGAGAAGCAAGTGGCATATCTTTGTGCTCATACGACAGTGTAAAAATGTGAAGTAAAGAATGAATAGGTGCAAGCGCTCGCTCCAGGTGGCGGTGCCACTGCAAACTCAACAGTGCCAAGAAATTGCTTCCCTTCAAGATCACGCCGGTGCCTCTTTGTTTGTCCACTTCTGGATTATTTACTTGATCGGTGCACGACGCTATCCGCTAGGCAGCACCCGAGTACGTGTGAACAGTAGTTCTGCACGGTTCGATACCCCGACCTACTGTGCCAGTGGTAGCAAACGCAGACCAGCAGAAAGAAGCTACAGCGAGAACAATCCGCAGTTCCCTGGTGGACAGGCACTTCTGCAACTGCTAGGAGAGGCCAAAGGGACGCACTGCTTTGAATCTCTCGGGAATTTCGCTTCCAACCTGTACATGCGTGGTACGTCGCTCCACACTCCCAACGCGTACCGAACGCTACGCTCACGCGAGCCGCACGAAAGAGTAACAACGTCACAGAAGGCATCGCGAGGCGGGAACTTCACAAAACGTCGCGTCTCGAAAATGCCGCGCCGCAAGTGAAGGACGCTGCCGGCCACAACACTCACCTCCGTCCTGGCGGTGACGTCACTGTGCTCGTTGTAGGGCACTTTGACGATGACCACGGGTTGCTTTTCGGCGGGCTCCGGGTTCTCGGAGGCCTGCGAATCGCCGCCCTCCGGCGCGTCGGCGGCCGCAGGCGACGCAGCCGCCTCGATGTTGCTGTCGGAGTCGGCATCCATGTCGGCACGTCGCTCGCTCGGTGGCTCGCGCATACCCCCTTCCTCCGCCATGACGCCAAGCCTGAATTCGAAAGACGGGCACAATATAAGGTTAACCACGCGCTATCGGAGCCTTCTCGAGCCACGCAACTGGACGCAAACGCGTCCGCAGCGTTTTATTCCGGGGGAACGCGCGCACAGTACGAAAAGTAGTCCCCCCCACAACCATCTCCCATGTTTCTTTTCTTCGATTGCGCGCTTTTCCAAGGCCTCTCACGCCACGAGCATAAAAAATGACCAACCGTTATTCTCGGAAACTGCTGGAATGATCGGCGAGTGTCCCGATCACTGTTACGTCATAGCATCAACGCCTATTTGCCAGATAACGGGGCAAAAAAGGTCGTTGTGCACCGCCGGCCGGTGTTGGCGCACAACGGAGCGTTGTGTAGGGGACACGATGTGCTATTCACTGCCGACACACTACGAACGAAAGCGTTTTGCAACACCAACGCGTCGTGAGTACGTACCTTCGCGGCTTTTTCTCACACCGAAGATCCGAGCTGACGCTTCCTTCTGATGAGGCTTTTTTTTTTATAGGCTTTGAGCCGCAAAACCGCCAAAAAAGTATTATTCTCGCACAAAACAAAAAATCACTACCGCACGTTTAGTGCATTTCACTAAAAAAAAACAGCACGGCCAACATTAGTTCAGCCGCAGTTTCGCATCCTACACCGCGCGTTCTCAAAAAATATTTTTCCAACATTCGCAAAAGTTCTTTAAATTTTAACCCTGTGTAAATAAACAGTGTATTTATTGCTTTAGTACAAGCCATCGAAGTTGATCGACAAATTAAGTTAAATACGTTAAACCACAAAACAAAAGCGTTTAGTAAATGCGGCTGGGCTGATGAAAAAATAAATATAGCAAAGATAAAGTTTGTATTCTTCCGCGCCGCCCAGCGAGGAATATTGATTTGTTGGTGCACTCAGGCTCGTCTGATAACATTCCGCGCCGTCAAAGAAACACCCGCTGCGTTACACGCGAACGCTGACAATTGGCCTCGAACGAGTTGCAAGTGGCCGCACTAGGGTCTAACGCCTTGTTCGACACTTGCACCTCGCCAAAAGACGCTCGCCGACGACACTGCAGAGCGCACTTCACGACTCCCCACCACTGCAAGGCCCTCCATCCTACGTGTCGGCCAGCCAAAGTAGTGGTAGTAGTTTCGAGCGCTCGGGGGAATCATTAATTGGCGGCGTCGGCGATTCGCGCAGTCAAATCGTCACCGGTATTCATTAATTTCGGGACTCGAGAAACAGAAAGGATGGCCTACAGGGGACCCAGATCGTAAGTAAACCCGACGACCGGCGATTTTTCGATAGCCTTATCGTTTCGCTGTAGTTGAATGAAGGAGGAGGGGGGGCTACGAGCCAAGCCTTTCCTTTTTCCCCGAAGCCATTGCTGTCTAGGCCAGGCCTCGGCAAGCGCCGAGTGCTTCAAGTGCACCGATAATTCATAATATCGATGCCGATAACGGCACGAAAATGCGGTGGAAGGTGCATTTGCAAGCGCTGTGCGCGGTCAAGCCGTGCTTCGCAGTGCAGCAATCGGTGCGCCTATTGAATGAACGCTACAACAAATATGACCGCCACCATCAGCTGTAGGCGTACCGCAATGTTTGTAGAGCCGGCTACAGTTGGCGAGGTTTCTCTAAAGTTGCATTTCTCAGTCAGCTGCGCAGTTAACCGTTAGCGCGGTGTTTGTGTGTTGGCTTACGTAGTCATTCTTCTCATGACAGCCGACTGGCTTCCCGGAACTGTGGTTTCGTTTTTATGTTATTGTGCTCGTGTAGGAGAAAAGGTCGTGCTTTTAAGTGGCTCAACAGCTGTTTCGCGCTTTAAAACAACGTCGCGACAGTTGTTTTTCTCTAGTTGAAAAAAAAAAAAAGTTCCCCCATTGCTTGCTTGCCGCTTTCGTTCTTGTGGCGGTTAGCGCTCTTGCGGAAGCATTTTCTTTTCTCAAAGGCAGTCGCGGAAACTGGCTTCCTAAATTGTCATTTTGTTGTGCCGCGTAGCTCTGTGTATGCGCATTGTTTCTAGAGCTTTCGTCCATGTTTGAACCGCGTTATTTTTTTGACGGTATTTTCGCCCCCTGAGCTTAATCAACGCGTTCCTTCGAAGAAGAGTACTGTTTTTTGTGTCGTTAAACGTATTTTTGCTAACTTAGACGCTCTTTAAACTTGACTGAGCTAAACGTTCCAGACTGTAGTTTATTGTTTTGCACCGACGCATCTCAGTAAAAAGAAATCATTACCGCAAACTACGCTTATTGTGACAGAAATGTCAGGTGTGCTGACAGTACAAGAAAAGCCGGTTGTGAAGGTGTTGAGGCTGGTGTATTTTGGGTGTACTTGGACCCAATGCATGCTGAAGAGTGACATTAGTAGTCGTTAAAACACTTCGAGCAACGAATTAACGTTATCACCCAACGTATATCCAACCTAGACGCAAGCCCTTAGAGGAAAAAAAAAAAAAAACACTGCAAAATCTGTGCGGCGCCCGAACACCCCGAAATTTACCTGTTCAAGTTTCGCGAATGTTCTCTGGAAGCTGAAGATTTTCTGCAGCTTCCGGTTTCGTTTGGGCGGTCTAATTTGTCGACGTTTACCGCAGCGCAAAATATTAAGGACGCGGAGGCTTGAAACTCCAGAACCATTAATCACCAGAGCGAAGGCGAAATGGTGCGATGGAGATCATTTCAGCAGTCGTGCGAGTTGTTGTTGGAGGGTTTCAATCAAGGTCACTCCGGTTCCACTGTATTCTGCAGAGGCAGGAAAAGAAATCGATATACCACCTCGCGTGTCGTCTCCAGCGACTCCCGTTTCTGCCGCCTCTTTGTCCGCGCGCGCGTTTATTTTTGTTTTGCCGGCTAGCCGCGCCGGCTCGCATGTCTGGTCCGGGCGGTGCGCTAGGCAACTGCGGCAGGCTCGGCGCATGCGCGCTGGCGCGTTCTGCCATTGCGCAAGCCCGGAAGCGAGAGAAAGCATAGCGGGCCCTCCCTCTTTCCTCCTCTCTGTGGCTCGTCGTCCTGCGGTGCCTTTCGCACGGTTAGCCAGCGTTCTTATCGCCCGGTGCAGTGCCGTTACTTGGTTAATCCAAACGTTGCACGTTCATTCGCACGTCTTCAGAAGCACGCCCTTATTAGCGCTGCGGGACTTGAGAGTTCAATCAACTTGCTTGCGTATGGCTACCAGGTAACATTTTAACTGCAGTTTAGGTTACCAAGGCTCTACTGTGAAAGCAAACGTGCATATGCTTTCGTAGTACTCATTCACTTAGTTGGTTCATAAGGTAGATTGGAAAATGTTTCAAAGTTTTGCACACTTAACAGCAGTTCTTGAAAGTGAACTCTGGCACTCGCTGATCATGAAGTGTCGTACCTTAAGAAAAGCCTTGTAATGAAATTTGTATTGTCTGCTTGCAGGCACTTATTCATTTTTCGTCACTTCGTTCTATGGGTGCTCTTCGTCGCACTTTAAGGCCAAACCTCATAAACGCGAAAATTCATACGACGAGCTACGGGACGTAGATTGCCTTCGCGCGAACAGTCGCTAGCGCAGGCAAACCCCATTCACACGACGGTTTCGGCAAGCGAACTCCACTGTTGCTTGCATGAGGCCTACTCATACCAAGAAAACCGCGTAGTGAGCGGTATGCAATTTAAAAATAAGATATATTGTTGTGTGATGGAACGGAAAGTGTTTATTATTGCCTTGCAGCCCTTTTTTATGTGCACGTGCATAAACATTACGTTATTTCTTCGTTGTGCATGCATGACTCGGGCGGAGAGGTGAGTGAGAGGAGGTGGCGATTTCGCAGCACATGAAGAGAACTGGCAGTACGTTAGTCATGTACATCATGTTCCGGTGCTTTGAGCACAGCACTTACGGGCGATGGGCGACGGTTTTCAAATCTGGAGAATCGAGCAATCACGCGAAAACTACCACGCGACACGTCGCGCGAACGCCCTGTTTTGTCGCTCATAGCATTGCTCGTCGTCGCGTGCATTTTCGCGTTTGTGAGGTTTGGCCTTTATCGTTGTGCATCTGTATGTGCATTTGTGAGCACATGGGTCTGCATATTTATCTTCTGCATTAAAGGGGTCGTGAAACGGTCGCTTTACAACGACAATACTGCACCATCGGCAGCCACACATGCTAACTATATCATCAGCCCGAGTAGACCGGCATAGATGCTTTGCCTATCGAGAAACGTGGAACTCTATGGCATATCGAGCGCGCTCATCGGCGTCTGCCATATGTGATCCGCGTCCCACAAGAACGCTGCTTAAGATGACGTCACCAGCGCAGATTGCATATGACAAAGACGCTGATGGGAATCCAAATTGCACGCACTCGGAAGTACCGAAGAGTTGTGTGTGTTCCTCGGTAGGCAAAGCAATACTTATCATGACGTCACCTAGTTCGTGAGAACGCCAGTGATTTCGCATTGTCCTCTTAGAGTGAGCGTTTCAAGACTCCTTTAACTTCACTTTGTCGAGTCCACCACTCTGCCCCGTCCCTACATGTTTCCTTTATTTTAGTAACTGCATCGCAGTACAAGCATCGGCAACACTTAGCCTATACTTTAAATGTTACAGTACCTTCAATTAGTTATCAGTGGCACTTAACCACTGAAATGTGCTAGGATATGCACGGCTCAAATGTATACACCGCGTAAGTGTATAAATTTTTGAGCCGTGCTTTCATGATTAAACAGTTGGTAGTCTAGCCGCTTTCCTGTCTTCTCAATTTCCTGTGTACGTTCATTTTCTGGCAGGATATGATTTGTTGATGCAATGCACCTACTAGTCCAACAAGTGTTATTAGCATCTGCGATGGTGTTGCATGTGTAAGAACATCGGGTTTCATACGAAGCGCTACCCGGAACTTCTGAACGTGCACACTAGGTGAAACGCAGCGTTGTTACGGGTGCTTCGTACACTGTACTAAAGCTTACTGTTGTCGGCAGTATGTTCTTATATGTGCACTTTGCAGACCTTACCTGTACTCCACATGCTGCCTCCTTTTTTTCTCCTCACAGGGACTTTGGGGGTCAGCAAGGGGGTCAGCAGCAGTGGAGAGGTGGTGGCGGTGGTCGGCCCCAGCCCGGTGGTGGTGGCATGGGGCGCCCCATGATGGGAGGCAACAACAGCTACGGGGATGGCCGCAACGGTGGCAGCAGCTTTGTCAACAACAGTCTTAAGGTGGGTTGCTGCTCTTCTTTGATGCAACTTTGCTCCGCTAATCCGCTTGAGTTGTCATTTTGAGGTGTCTTGCAGACACTTGAGGCAGCGTTCAGCTTTCACGAGTTATAATCTGTCGGAAGGCAAGAGAAAGTAGAATAGATGCAATGCTTCTCCTCATTGCGTTACAATATATTTTTCAAATCCCTGCAATGTTCTCTCACAGTGTATATCGAAATATTTTCTGTGTCATCAGTTACCACACCGAGAGAAAAGGATGCCAGGCAGTGCAGTGTGTGAACATTAAGGCTTCATACATCATGGTGCTTGCATTTGCTTGTGTGCTATAAACACCTTGTGAGGCTGCGTAGAGAGCGCATTAAATAATCAGCAGCAAATGGTGCATGGCTTCTGACTTGGGCCAGAGGAGGTGAGGAAGGAGAAGTGCAATGCACCGCGTAGGATCGCAACCAAATATGAGTGCCTTTCTTTCGTTTAGTTTTACAGAAGTAGCTTAGCATTTTTTTCTTATTTGGAGCGTGTTTGTTATTCTCCATGATGGACTGCAGTGTCGCCTATCTGAACTGGAAATCTTTTTTGATCCCAGTGTCTCATGGCCAGACTCTGTTCAAGGCCCAATGCAGCTGCGTTTGCGCACGTCTGTCACGTCGCTTCTGAATGGCCGCATGTCAAGGCCCCTTCTTAAATCTTGCCATTTCACCAAGTGTTGGCAGGAAAGTTACTGGGGCGTCTGCTTTTAGCGAGTTCCAATTCTTCGGAGCAAGTGATATTGCTGGCACTAGTCGCTGTAGATAGTCTGTGCAATGTACAAACTAATGGGCTTGTGTGCATGGTAAAGGGACAGTCAACCGTCTAAAAAAATTTTTCAGATTTTGACAAAAATGAGATTGTCCTCTATATCGATGGCAACGAGCATGCTTTTGTTTCATAAACAAGAAATTATAATTTTTATTTGATGGCTTCTACTCAACAAGTGGTGACCACTAGCGTCATTGAACAGCAATGTGGCTCATTCTACTGGCAGAATAAGAAATCTCTGCAGGTAGACTCATCTTGCTTAAAAACAAACATAAATTGTATTCCACACACCTGAGGCAGCTTTAGGCTGTTCCAGAGTTATTTTTGCTTTTTCTCTCGTGCCTTCAAAAAGGTGCCCGATGGTGCTGTTGTTGGTGCATTTGTTTGCCTGCAAATAGTGGAGAAACGCAAGCACTGCCATTGCTGCTCATAATAACTACAACAAAAAATGTCTGCTTGCTTTAAATGACTTCCAAGATATTTGTTTTATTATGAACCAAAACTTGGTAGGAGGCCCGCGAAAACCGCACGCGGTCTTAGTTTTCGTCTTTCACCAGCCTTACAGCCGTAATCGCCTCCACTGACCAACGTTGTGGGCACTCATCCCACCGATTGAAGGAGACCGAACGCAGGTCGAAAAATTGTGTTAAAAGCCATGTCAGTCTGACAACGTCTCTGTTGCCTTGGGACTGCAAAATTGGTCAGTTAGTCGGTGTCTCAAACTTGTGCCATATAACGTTGCAACAAACTTTCATTTTAAATCGCTGTATTGACTTAATAATAACAGTGTATGTAATCTACGTTTGAGTCGGTAATGGCTAGTGTGACAACTTTTTGCACCATGCATTTTGTTGCTCTCTACCTGATGCATACAATGTGGATGAGAACCCAGTCAAAGGGATAGCCATTTGCAAGAAAAAAAAACGGTTCAATATTTACTCATTGACTGCGACCAAAAATAAAAGTTAGAAGTTGACGTCTGCCGCTTCCTCGTGGTCAGTCAGCCGCAACTTCAGAAGTTGACGGCGTTTCCTCTTCAAAGGCAGGTGCATGCAAGCCTGCATCGGTAGGTGCTCACTCGAGGCTGATATAACAGGCCGGATGGACAGTGACCCGTCGTCCAATTACATTAATGAGTGTGTGATTGGGACTCCTTTCAGCCGCGGGCTGCTGCGCTTGTTATCCGGGCTAATCAAGTTGTACTAGAGTATAAGTTACGTGCAACCGTTTTTTTTTTTTTTTTTTCTTGCAAGTATAAACTAACAGTACTCGTTTGTGTCGTTTCTGTTTTACATGGTCTTCGTCGTTTTTACGCCGCACCTAAACATGCTACCTTAACAGCTAGCCCACCTTTCAATGCTGTTGAACCTGTTTGCCCAACAGGAAGTTTTTCTGCGTAGCCACTTCAATTTTCAACTCCTTCATCAATTTGGTATTGGTGGAAATAGTTTGGATTATTACCCCTGAATTAGTTTTAGACAGTTGAGGTCAAGTTTGTGTGCCTGTTTCTGTGGAACCCAGGGCAAGCAGCCAGGCGGAAACCTTCGCAAGCCAGATTGGGAGCGAATCCAGCTTCAGCCATTCCAGAAGAACTTCTACCAGGAGCACCCCAACACTGCCAACCGTTCTGAGGTGTGCCTGGTTGACGCGTCTCTTTACCTTGCGTACAAATTTCGCCTTGTAACGGGCATGCGTCGGTAACGGTTTAGCTGCTGCATTCGAGAACTGCCATAGCTTTGATCTACCAGTACAGAGACTGTGAGCAAAAGCGAGAGAAGTCATTGAATGGCGTATGTGTCTACTCGTTTGTTTCTTGTCTTCAGTTGGGCTCCCAGTAATCGCGGAACTGTGCGGAATCTTCAGATTTTCAGCTTTATTGAGAATCTTTCTGCTGAGCCTAATGACGTACTTTCGAAACATTATGGATGACCGCTGCAGGAAATCTTTTTTGAGAGGGGGGGGGGGGGGAGTGCTCTATTGCATAACAGCATTTTTTCAGTGGTCTGTTGTGAAACAGTTTCACACAAGCTTATATGGAAGCTGTGCTCACTTTAATGCAGCCAGCGGTCATTTACCCTTTAGTGTTTGATGAAAGGCAGAAAGTTTAATCTACCTATATATTGCGTGAAACTATGAAGAAAAGCCGCATTCTTGCAGTTTTTGTGAGCCATTCTAAAAAAATTCGTATCTTTAAAGATAGATTTTCACAACTTACTGATATTCGTAAGGATAATCTGTATACATACTGATTTTGGGGGATTACTTCAAGTATAAGGTGTTTTCACACTGCTATGGATTTTTTATGCTGTTTCGTGCTGCCAATAAATCGCGCTTTTTTTCCTCTTCGTGAGCCTTCCACCACCATGCAACATTTCTCGGAGGTGATTTGTGAAGCTTTTTTTTTTATTTTGATCATGACATCATTTTTCTGCTTCCCCGCAGGAAGAGATTGAACAACATCGACGTCAACACGAGATGACCCTGAGGGGCCGCGACCCTCCACGACCCATCCTGACCTTCCAAGAGGGTTGCTTCCCTGGTGAGATAATGTGCCAGTTGCATGCGCTGTTAGTAGGGTGAATTTTCTGGCTGATTTAGAGATTACTTCGTGCGGTGATTGTAGTCGCTTAACCTTGGTTTTATATTGCAACAGGAAAAGATCGTAAAATATCTTCTGCTCTGTGCCTTGTACTAGAGTTGTAAACCTGCAGTGCTTTGCACAAAATATTTTTGAAGCTTTTGTGAGGCTACCATGCAGCACAGGCTATGTCTTTATCACGACAAATAAGGTGTCTCGCACTATTTTCTCTTCCAAGCAGTTCCAGTCAATCTCATCCGATTTTCTGAATATTTGGAAAAGTTCCGGAAGTTAACAGTTATTTATGTTACGTACATATGATACCTGAGCATAATAATGTGACTTAAGGTAACGGCTAGTTAACTGTCTAAATGATTAAAAGTACCAGCTGGGATTGTTCGGCACCTGGCGGAATAGACCTTGACTTGGCACTTCTCTCTACATGGCTTCGGAGATTCGTTTGAATGCTACACGTGGAGGAAAAAACATTTAGGAGGTGCTTCTCCGTTCCTTGAGGTGACCAGATAATGTGATATTGCGAGAAAGCGAATTCGTCCTGCCAGCATCTTGTGGCAGAAAAGAGAATCGCCGCCGTTTCATTTTTCGAGCGAACTGGGTGCGCGCTTTGCTCTCGTTCTGCCGCAGTCATGGAGCGGTGACGCGAAGCATTCGGTCGAGCTCGACTGGTAGCGTCGGCCTTTTCTTTTTTTCGTGGTTGTGGCTTTGTGCTACAAGGCACCGCCAGCTGAAATGTCTCCATCGGAGCACATTGTTTTGGTATTTTATGCGACGTTATCTGGGTGCCCGTTCGAACGGGATCTTCACCTCCTAAATATTTTTTTCTGTAACTGTACGCCAAATGCAAAGTTAGCGCAAGGAATACACAGGAACACATGAATGTAGATACGAGAGGGCCACTATCAGACACTTTATTCAAGGATTAAAGTTGCCTTCAGATATTTTTTTCTGAGCTGCGTCTTGTTTCTTTCGCAGACTATTGCATGCGGATGATCGAGGCCCAGAACTACAAGACCCCAACGGCGATCCAGTCCCAGGGGTGGCCCATCGCATTGAGTGGTCGTGACATGGTCGGCATTGCACAGACTGGCTCGGGAAAGACCCTGGCCGTGAGTGCGGCTTCCCTCCCATTTGTAAACGGAACTGCACATTTTGTAATGTGGAATTGTTGGTGGAATCGTGACGAGTGAATGACGACCTCTTATGAAAGTCTCGATAATTTATTTTAATTAATAGAGCTGTGTGAATAGCAAAATATTGGGTGCGAATTTGAATATCGAAATGAGAGTGTGAATCGCTATTTCTAGAACATCTTTGAATACTTCGAAGTGAAATTTCAGAAAAAATAAAGTTGGAGAGGATTATTAAACATAATCTTGTGCAGCAGCAACATGAATGTTTTTTTTGGCAAGGTTGATGGAGCGACGCCGGGGTGGTGTTTCTTAGTTGTGTTGTCGAGAATGAGGCAATGTGGAAGCCAAATTGTATTTATGTACATGATTTGGTGCAGTCAGCGTTGCCCGAATTTCAGGTCCAGAACAGCATTGAGGCCCCACCTCTGCAACATTTATCTTTATGCTGGAACCAGTGTTTCCTAGAGTCAGTACATTTGGGTTTGGAGCAGAACCTGAAAGGCAGCTTTGCCACAGTGTGTGATGGGGTGAAGGATGTCGAACATCAAGCGTATTTGTCCTTGGGGAGTTTGACTAATGAAAATTTGGGTGCAAATCAAGTCAAATGGCAAACACTATTTTAAAGATATTCAAAAAATATTCAAATGTTCGCACACCCCTATTAATTACCTTGTTGAAAATGTGATAGTGTGACTCCAATGCAAGGGAATCAAGGCAAGCCTCTTGTGGCTTCCGATTGCCTTTTAGATTGTGTAAGAATCAAGGTTGTGTGGGAATCAAGGTTGTAGCTCGCAAAGTTACTATTGTGGGGGTCCTTACTCCTGCTCATTTGCCACAATTGGGAAAGGCCACCATGCCTTGAAGGTGCACTTGGCCGTTGCATTTTGGTCATCACAAGTGGTTCATTCACCCGGAAGAGGTTGCGAAGAAATGAAAATATTTGTTATGGTGAGAAACTATTTGATAAACAGTGACATATGTTGTGGGTTGTGCAGTGGCATACACGGTGAGCCGCACTGGCAACCGCAGAAGTTAAAAGAAAAAGTTTATGTAGTTTCAGCAGTAAAGTTGTAAAAGATTACCCTTTTAAGGGGCAAGGAGCAATGTATTTGCTGTAATCCTTTATCCCCGACACTGGTGATGCAATAATGCTGCATTACCTTTACCGGCACTCTGTATAAAGAAAAAGTGCCGCCATATCCACGAAGTGAATGATGATGAGTGGGCGAAGCTCCGGAGGTAAACCTGGTAAACCATGAATCCTCTGTACATTTTGCCCCCTCGATTTTATTACATCGCTCCCCCCCCAGCGTACGTCGCCGCACTAAATCGAACGATTGCCTTCAACCAATGACACGCGTCATATGTGACATCATTCCTATTTTATAACATCTCGCATCTTTCATCAACTACAAGTACCGCCATCTAGTTTATAACATCTTGCATCTTTTCATCATCAGCTACAAGTACCGCCATCTAGTGAACAGTGCAAGAACTAAACGAGAGGTGGCTACATACAGGAGACGGTACCGCCATCTAGTGAACACTGCAAAAACTAAACTAGAGGTGGCTACATACAGGGGACGGTACCGCCATCTAGTGAACACTGCAAGAACTAAACTAGAGGTGGCTACATAAAGGCTACAGGGGACGCACAGCCCACGCCCTAAGGAGCTTCGCCCCTAAAAGATGTATAATGCCTTCCTGTTTCCGTTCTTTGCGCAGTACATCCTGCCAGCAATTGTCCACATCACTCACCAGCCCTACCTCCAGCGAGGAGACGGACCAGTGGTGAGTTGAAACGTTTCGCTTGCACTTTCGGTTATTCACCACTACCGTCTGTTGTGTTACTGTCCTGAACATTTGTGCGAATTGCCCGTTGAACAGTTGCCGTCATTGGGAATTTGCGTGCTGCCATGTTCAAATTCGTACCTGTTTTGCTTAGCCTCTGGGTTACTTGGGACCCCCCCACCCCCCTCTCCTGGCTACAGGGAAAGTGCTGTGGAAAATTGACGGAAGACAAGACAAAGAAGGGACAATAGTGCGGACAAATCACTGGTGTTGTCTTTCTTCGTCTTGTTGAAAATTTTCCGCCCTTCTTTCTGTCGCAACCATGGGGCCAAGCTTCAACCCTATTCCCCGTAGCTGCCTTCCTTATCTTATTTGGCAAGCCCTGAGATTGACAGCCTTTCGTTAAAAAAAAGAACTTAGCCCTCTCACTCGGTTTATAATTTATTAGTCCCTTTGTTGTAGACCTTATGCAAAATTGATGCCATATGTCGGCCCTTGGTGCATAGCCGCCATGTTAGAGGCTTTGCGTGGCGCAGTACGCACAGGTCTGCGTGTGTTTATGTAGACATATTTGTAAGGCATAACGATGTGAGGCATGAATGGGCTGATAATCGCAATTCCGTCGTATTGCTGCATCCCTTGCTGCACAGAGTAACTCTGGAGCGCTGAAGGGAGAAAGGTAAGTTGTAAGCTTCTTGCCCTTTCTTTTTATTTTTTTCAACCTGACGATGTTTCCAGGGTGCACTCCGGCTACTGCTTCTGAAAGACTGTTTTGCGTTCGCCTGTCTACTGTCTAGGCATTCAAGACGTGCACTAGAATTCGTACTCGTGTTCCCGCAAATAGCTGCATGCCGAAGCGAGGCAGTTTTTGTAACGTTTTCACTAGCAGCTGTTTACCAAGTGAAAGCGGCTCGTACGCTTCACGCAGAAGCCACCGTTACGCGACGAGCTTTATTGCAACTAATTGCCCGTGCCTGCATTCTGTTGACTTTGCCGAGCACATTGGATGCTAGAATAACATGTACAGTTATGTGTAAGTTATCCCGCTTGTGGGGTCTCGAATTGGTGAGCGAGCGCCACGCCACGCTCTTTGAGTGAAAGGACACAGTAGACATGGTCAGTACTAACCAAACGATACACATATATTTAACTAATTTGATTGACAATATTTGTCTGCCGAATGATTATACATCATTGTAATTAACACGCTAGGACATCCGTACACAATATGACCATATACTCCATGACAAACACAATCACACGACAAACGCACAATAACACTACAAACACACAATAACAGGACAAACACAATAACACACCCAAGGCAGCATCACCAGCGCTTGACTTGCCACGAGGGCTCCCCAATGCGCGGCCCGCGGTGCCACGCGCCGTGGACCTAGGCTAGAGACGCGGCAACCGCCACCCGCAGAAGAGTTCATCTCATCTCTCCCGCCACCAAGGCTTGCCTTCCGCCAGGGGTCACCGCCGGCGCTGCCACTCTACCAACCACGATGATGATAGTGGTGCTCAACGCGAACACGCCATCTACTGCCCAATGGTTGTAACCCGAAATGGGGCTTTTGGGCGAGACACGTGCGCCATGCAGCGCAAACAACTTTACAGGGGCTGTCGGCACCCCCACACGTTAAATAACAGCTTGCCACACTCCAGACGAGAAAACGAAACGTGAAAGAAAGATGCTTTAGCACAGTGTTGCTCCCTTCTCAGAATGAACCAATGACGTGCACTTGTTTCTAAATCGGCATGTGCCATTATCGAAACATAAACAAAACAGCATATTCTAGAAAATGCAGGCACGCTAATTAGCTGCGATAAAGCTTGTTGCCTGAAGGTATCTTCTGTGTAAAGTGTACGAGTCACCTTCACTTGGTGAATGGCTGCTAGTGAAAACGTTGCAAAAGCTGCTTGCTTCGGCGTGCAAAAATTTGTGGGAACACCAGTATAAATGCTTGTGCACGTCTTTACCTAGAAATGCAAACGCAAAGATAGATGTCTTTCGGTAGCAGTAGCCTGAGCATGGGTTAGAAACAGTGTCAGCTTGAAAAAAAAAAAACAAAGGGCAAAAGTTTATGGCTTACCTTTTTTCCTTCGGCATTCAGAGTTCCTCTCTTTGTGTAGCAAGCGACACACTAATACGGCGGCATTGCGATTATCAGCCAATTATTTCCCCACGTTGATACGCCTTACGTATACGTAAACTTGCGCAGATCAACGTGAACTCTAAGCCTCTAACATGGCGGCTATGCATACGATTGCTGATAGATGGCAGCAATTTGCATAAGGTCTATATCAAGGATGTTCGGGTGTTTTGTTGTAAAGTTGTCAACAGCCTGACTGACCAGATTCGGGCACCCTTCTGAAACAGGCCACAAATGCTGCGCTTGACGTTTAGTCTTCATCAACTCGTGGCAAGCTGGCCAGCATCTCTGGGGTCTAACAAGTTTTCTGTGTTTCTCTAGCTCTTATTTACCATAGCTCGGGAATAAACACGGGATTTGTCTCTTACGCAGGCTCTAGTGTTGGCACCAACACGTGAGCTGGCCCAACAAATCCAACAAGTGGCGTCAGACTTTGGCAAGGCGTCCCGGATTCGTAACACGTGCGTCTTTGGCGGGGCCCCCAAGGGCGCGCAGTTGCGGGACTTGGAGCGTGGTGAGTTGCCGCTTCTGCGAACTGCCACTATGTTTGTGGCGTGTTTTAGAGTTACTTGCAGTCGCTTGTCACAAGCCATCGCCTCAAGCAGCACCTCCTCTACTTCTTCAAAGCCGGTCAAATGCACCCGATCCAACTGTTTGCCGCCCTCTCTTCCCGTCATTTTGTCCACCACGGTGGATTAGTGGCTAAGGTGCTCGGCTGCTGGCCCCGAAGGTCGTAGGTTCGATGGAGGGGAAAGGGTAGAGGCCAGAGTACAGTGTGATGTCGGTGCACAATAAAGAACAGGAGATCGTTCAAAGCCCTCCACAATACGGTTTCTCGCAATCATATCATGCTTTTAAGACAAAAGCTAATGTATTTTTATCTTCTCGTTGTTTGCTATCTTCCCCCATTGGCTAGTCTGTGCACCTGCTTTGCGTATATGGGTTAGAGTACCCTTTAGCTGGTGCCTCACAATGGATGTTAGAAGTGGTAATTTTTTTTTGTGTGTTCCGTTTTCTTTTTATGAGGCAGTGGCTTGGATGCCTCATGATCACTGTGTTCTGTCACGCTGGCTCTCTAAAGACTAGTTCTGAAATGGCGAGTCTCTGTTGATTGTGCCATGTATGATATCAATGGGGACACATCACTGTGATTCTGCTGCATGTGCTGCCCTTGCAATGCACCATGTGAGCGCGCTACGGCAGCGGTAGCATTGCTGCAACGACAAAAAAAAAGCAGTACGAAGGAACAAATCTGACACACATGATGTAGGAGAGAAACGATGTGTCTATTGCATCTCCACGGAAACGTGCACATGCAAGTAGTTGTACTCTTTAGGTGACGTTGCACCACGACGGCTCCCATTACTAAGGCAGACCACATGTTTCCACCGAGGAGCAAGCATTTGCATTAGCACTGAAAAAAAAAAAGTGTTGCCCAGAGCTTGAAATATTAGCGGCATTGGAGTTTCAAACCACAAAAATGGTCTAGCTTCAGGTAGTGTAAATGTAGAAAAGCCCAATTTTGAAGCATGCATAGATGCGTCGTACAAAAGGTGTCTCTATCTTAGTTGTCACATACTCGCTGGCTGAGCATCTGTACAGGACGTTTACATGAGGCAGCACCTGCAGCTTGCTGAAAATCTCGGGCTATATTGTGGAATAGATGTCGTATCCATTGACTCGGTGCACGCATCATTTTTTCTAGTGTTGTGCCAAAACTTGCGGCAAACCTTCGAATCTGCGATAATGGCCTTTGGGGTGTTTGTATTACATGACTGCTGATTCGGATCAAAATCTATAGTCTGTACCAGCTAGACAATACACGATCGTGTTGGATGCTACTGTGCACCTGAATCGAGAAGCAATAAAACGTCATTATGAGAGGCACTGTTACGAGATGCTCTTAGCTAAAAGTGAAATATTCAAAATGTCTGGTTAACCTGTGTGCCATCCTCTTGATCTCTCTTAGTTAGTTCTCCTGAATTAGCCGTGTAGCATACAAGGGAGGTGGCCAAGTTCTGTTACCATACGCAGCGCGATGTTGTTCCTCACATGGTGACAGCTACAAGCTGCACCTAACTTTGTTTTTATGAATTTTTTTACTCCTGTTGGGCTTCGACATTGACTACGGAGTCGGAGTGAGTGGGGTTTCCAGTGTAGCATGTGCGGCACCGGTTGTTTTGCATGTCGAAGGTTTTGTACTCTGGAGCCAATCCCATGTTCTCTTGAGGCAGCCATGTTTGAACCGTTCGGAGTGCCCCTGGCCTGGTTATCATGCCTTTGCCACATTAGGGATTATGTAATGAAGTGACCTAGTCAGACTGCTGAGTGTTGTAAGAACTCTTGGTTTCAAGCGACGTGTTCTCTAGGTCTCTCGAGCATCTATTGTAATAAGGTTTGACTGAACCAAGGTCTCGCAAGGTGTCATTGTTCTCTCGCAGCTTCTGTCGTTGACGCGCGCTGATCTCTGCAGGTGTCGAGATCTGCATTGCCACACCGGGCAGACTGATCGACTTCCTGGAGGCAGGCAAGGTGAACCTTCGTCGCTGCACGTACCTGGTGCTGGACGAAGGCCGACCGCATGCTGGACATGGGATTTGAGCCCCAGATCCGCAAGATCGTGGAGCAGATCCGTCCGGACTGTCAGACCCTGATGTGGAGTGCCACCTGGCCCAAGGAGGTTCGCTCCCTGGCCGAGGACTTCCTCAAGGATTACATTCAGGTGATTGACGAAAATTGATCAGTGGTACGAACCGTAGCAATTCTCGCAATACTCTCAACCCTCATTATAACAGTTGCATATTAGACAAAAATATGTTCACTACACTGGAAAATCTATTTTAAAGGTATATTCTTAACGCTATCTATTGCAAGAATATTTTTTATTTACTTCATTATAACCAACATTTTGTTATATCTTGGTTCATTATATCGAAGTTTGAGTGTATTGAATACAGAAAACTTGCGCTGTGATTGTTCAGCCACTGTTTAAAGGGGGGGGGGACGCGGGTCTTAGAAAAGTAAAAAATGGCCAAAAAATCGATTTTGAGAAAAACGCATTTTTCGAATCTTTGAACCTATAAGCACCTCTCCTCAAATTATTAACGCTAAATTCGATAAAAAGATAGGTTAAAATCTATTTTCAAACCATCACGGGAGTCGCAAAACAACCCGCAAAACAGAAAATTCGTTCGAACTTCCCGCGCGCGCCGCCACCAAAGCAGCCGGCGGATCGGCGCCATCTTGGGCTTGTTTTGAAGCTGGTTCCTTTGTGCGCGTTTTGCGGGCTCTCAAAATGGCGTAGCTCCAACACAGCGACTGCCCTCCCCCGTTTTGCGAAGCCGTCTGCCGGACCGCTGATTGGCTAGAGCGCGCGCGCGCAGGCGAGCCCCCCGTCTCGCGCTTACCATTGGCTGGCGCGGCCAGGGTTGCTCGCTCTTTTTTTTTTGTTTGGTTTTGCTCCGTCGGCGCCTGCTCTCGTGCGTGTTATCTCGTCTGCTACTCGCTCGTGTACCGACGTCGCCGACGTATACGTCTTTCTGCATTTCGCCGGCATGGCTTGGGAAGCTCGCCTGAAGAACACTCGTCAAGCTTTCGGCAGGAAACGAAAGCGAGCGTGGAATGCGCGGCAGAAGGGAGCGGCCTGCGCGCCGCCGAGAACGCCGGAGATGGCCGAGGCAGTGCATTTTGACAACGGGCTGTCGGAAATGCCTGTTATTGCGGAGGCAGCACATTCAGACGACGACTCGCTGGCGCAAGTGCCTGTTATTGCCGAGGCAGCACATTCAGACGACGATTCGCTGGCGCGAATGCCTGCCGAAGCGGTGCACTCTATTCGGCCCAGCTGCAGCACTTCGTCGGATCATCACGTCAGCGGATCGTCATCCGGCACTACTGGAACCATTCAAGGTCATTTCGACACGACGTTTTACTCTGCGGACGAGTTCGCCGAGTGCTCCATACGTGCGGGGAATTTAAAAGAGTCCCTGGCATCGCAGTGCGCGACAGCACGAAAGTTTGAGCTGCTGGACGTTCAGCTGGAGGGCGACGACAAAGAAAACTGCACGCAATTTGCCATTGTTGATATAGAAGCGATAGACTCGCTATTTGGACTTCTCCCCTGCCCCGAGTGCGGCTCAAAAAGTATGACTTTCTCCAAGGGAAAAAGAGACTATGGGCTGTGCTCAAAACTCGTGCTTGCATGCAGCAGTTGCGACTTTCGCGAAGAACGGTTTTCTTCACCGAGAGTTGCCGAAAATAGCCAGGCCAAAGTAAGGCCTTTTGAAGTGAATTTGCGTGCCATGAAAGCGATGAATACTATCGGCAAAAGGGCAACAGCTCTGACGGACTTTTTTGCCGCGATGAATATTTCGCATCGAGGGCTTCACCAGAAAACATATCAAAGCCGCATGAAAATTATGTGGGAAGCCTGCGGTGCGACTGCTGCCGAATGCGAATCCACTAGCGTTGCCCGCGTCAAAGAACTCTATGCGGAGTTTGGCAATCCACCGGGCAACGTCGTCATTTATGATGGCACGTGGCTTACCCGTGGACACAGCTCCCATATCTGTGTTGGTTGTATAATTGAAATGTACACTGGTTTAGTTATTGATCACGTTGTACTTTCAAACTTTTGCCTGGGCTGCGCCTCTGGACCAAAGGAAGATGAGGAGGCACACGCTGCTTGGCTCGTCCAGCACGCCCCTGTGTGCCAGAAAAATGTTGACTGCAAGGCTGGTCAGATGGAAGTAGAAGCAGCCCTACGCCTCTTCCGGCGCTCCTTAGAAAAGCATAAGCTTCGGTACACAACAATGCTTTCAGATGGTGATAGCCGAACCTTTCATGCCCACACTGAAGATGAAGTTTACGGATACATAAAAGTTGAAAAAAAAAAGACTGCATCAACCATGTGCACAAACGAATGGGGGCTGCCTTACGAACGCTCATCGAAAAGAAAAAAGCTCAAGGTGGGTCACTTGGCGGAAAAGGTAGGCTCACTCAAGACAAAATAAAGAAAATTACCTCTTACTATGGCTATGCCTTGAGGAGCCACAAGAGTGATGTGCCAGGCATGAAAAAGGCTGTGCTGGCCACACTAAGGCACATGTCATCAACAGACGAGGCACCCAAACATGACCTCTGCCCTGAGGGAACAGATTCATGGTGCAAGTTCAACAGGGCCATAGCCAATAGTGAGGTGCCTCCACCGCACAAGAACAGCCTGCCCGATTTAGTCTGTGAGGCACTGGAGCCTGTGTTTATGAGGCTTAGCAACAAAGCATTGTTGGAAAGGTGCAGTGATGGGATCACCCAGAATCCTAGTGAGAGCTTACACGCTACAATTTGGCAACAAGTCCCCAAGACCACCCATGCCTCACTGCGCAGCGTAGAAAGAGCAGTGGCTGAAGTCATCAGCCGCTTTAATCAGGGGGCCACGAAGAGCAATGAAGCAATTGCTGAGAAGCTAGGCTACAGTGCAGGAAATCTCTTCATGCGTCGTAGCCTTGAAAAGGTTAAAACCAGGCTTCACAAATCGCGGAGGGAGCACCTGCAGAGCAGTTCAACAAAGGCAACACTTGCAAAGCGACATAAGCCTGCAAGAGACACTGCATACAGCCCTGGCATGCTGTAGACTTGTAAGGATGTCTGGGACAAAAATGTGTGTTTTACTTGAAATAGTGTTTTATGTATAAAAGGGCGATGTTTTTATATATAACATGTGTCTTCCTTTGGTTTTCAGTGCACTAGAACAGCCACAAAGTTGTAGACTGGGTTCCTTATACTGATTAAACGGCCAGTACACAGTTTTTAAATGAGCTGTGGCAAATATTTTGGGAAGGTGCATTGACACATTTGGTACAGCCATACTCACATAATGTAGAGCTATACAACGGTGCCATTTTTATTGCTCTAGCTTCACTTTAGCAAAAGTTACAGTTATTAGAAACTTTAAATGCGTTTTTCTCAGTTCGATGTTTTTGTGCACCACACTAAACCTTAGGGGTTTTTCTTATATGTTACTGTTGATTGAGAATGACAAACTTGGTATCATTTTATTTGTAATAACATTACCTATGGGGTGATGCTATATTGATTACTCTAGAAGCATACTGTTAATTACAATTATGGATAGTAATGCGCGAAAATTGAACAGAATATTCATTGTAAGTGCTGGTCTGTTTTCTTATCTATATAATGCCTAAACATTAATAAATATAGCATCACCCCATACAGAAAGCCCTCAGCATTGGGGCTATGCATTTATTTTTTGGATCTGGCTTGGTTAAGTTGCCAAAAAGCCCCCAATGAAGTGCATAATTAATTAAATTACAGATGTTAATATCTTTTTATCCACTGAAGCTATTTCAGAAACAATTACATATTTGAAATCAGCATGAAAAACTGTCCAAGATGGTGAGGTATGGTCAAGATTGAGCCAAAAACAGAAAAAAAAAATTTTAAAGACCCATGTCCCCCCTTAAATGATGGGTGGGGCAGGGATTGGCAGAGTTGCTTTCTGGCCTTAAACACTGTTGTGGCATTATCATTTTCCTCTCTCTCTCTCTTTTGGAAAAGAAAATGCCTTGTTGTGAACCTCAGTGAGCTGAATTGAGTTGTTGACCCTAAAACTGTGAAGGTGGTGCAGTGGGTGTGCTGAACTTTAGCTGAACTTCGGCTTGCAACAGAGGCTGAAGGCCACACAGGGCTAGAAGAATAAAGTTTAGTTTGAATTCATGTGCTACCCACTTTCCCATGCTGGCTCATGCGTTGTGTTGCATCTGGTAAAGACACCAGCCCCCAGTTTCCCCCTCTAGTGTACTATTACCGAACTGTGTGGAACTTCCTGTTGCTGCATTCCTGTTGCATGCAGCAGTCATGTGATCCGAGCAGAAACATTACAGTGACGTGCAACTCTACCAGTGGTATTACGTGCGAACTCCCATTCTGGCTGCAGCAATGCAAGCCAAAAATATGGTGCAGAAACACAAAGCAGCACAGCACAGGTCACACTCAAGCCCCGCCGCAGTGGTCTAGTGGCTAAGGTACTCGGCTGCTGACCTGCAGGTCGCAAGTTCACATCCCTGCTGCGGCGGCTGCATTTCCGATGGAGGCAGAAATGTTGTAGGCCTGTGTGCTCAGATTTGGGTGCACGTTAAAGAACCCCAGGTGGTCGAAACTTCCGGAGCCCACCACTACGGTGTCTCTCATCATATGGTGGTTTTGGGACGTTAAACCCACATATCAATCAATCAAATCGGGTCACACTCAAACATTGACACACTAAAACCTTATTACAATAAATCTGTATCTTACACAAAAATAAGTTTGTAATATCCAAATATTTGTTATAAAGGTTTATTCCTAAAACCATATCTATTACAAGACTATTCTATTTTACTTCATTATTACCGATGTTTTGTTATAACTGAGGTTGTTAGATCGAAGCTTTAGTGTATAATGAAATACCAGGTATAATGAAGTAAGTTATAGCCTTCCAATAGAGATGATGTTACGAATATACCATTATAACCAATTTTCAGATATAGCAAAATTATTTTTATGCAAGATACAACTTTGTTATAATGAGGTTTGAGTATATTACTGGTGCCCCAGTGACACAGGTCACCCATGAACACTGGAAAAACAACGATACTCGTGCAACACCAGGCAAAACCTTTCCCTTTCATTCCAATTGTATGTAGTCGGTGTGATGTCACACATGACACTTCCGCTTGGGTCACGTGACTTTCTTGGAAACGTGCGATCAGCACAATAGTGTTCAAAAGTATAAGCCATTGACTGTGTGAGAGGCGCAGCAATCCGTCCCTGTGCCTCTCGAGCGCTCTTATGTAGCAAAGCCTTGCCTGGTGCATAATGTCATTTCACGAAAAAATGCCTGGCATTCTTGGCCTTCTTTCTTGCAGGTGAACATTGGGGCACTGCAGCTCTGCGCCAATCACCGCATTGTGCAAATCGTCGACGTCTGCCAGGAATCTGACAAAGAGAACAAGTGAGTCGTCGACTGGTACACTTGCAGTGCCACGCGTCTTGCCGTGTTCCTAGCTAACCGTTTAGTACGAGCGTGCACTATTCTGAATGCATTTACCTGATGGGGATAAAATTAGATGCAACTTTCCGATGGTCAAATAGCTCAGCTGGTTCTAGCAGGTTTTGCTGTAGTTGGTTGTGAAGCATAGTGGCGCGAGTATTTTGGTCTAAAATATACCGTATATACATGCGTAATGAGCCTGCTTGCCTAATAATCTTGATCCTTGAAGAAAGGAGAAAAAAATTAAATCTGTCTGTCCGTTTTATTTCGGTATGATAGCCAGGGCTGTTAATGATAAAAACAATGTTAAATCAAGCCGTTATATGACAAAATAACAATGCAATGAAAGCAAGAGATAGTTATGCAGTCAAGCCTAACAGTTGCGAGCAGCGCGCGCTGACGACGTAAATTAAAATTTGAAAGTCTCGCCTTGTACAGCAACGAGTCATCTGTCGCATGCAGGAAAAACCTCTCTGCTGATAGCGCCGCGCAAACAGAGCGACACAAAAACAAAGCGTGTGACATCCAAAATGGCGCTCGTGCTGTGTCATGGAACACGCCGCACGCTGGCCATCTTGGACCTATGGAAAGCGCAACCGCGCCAACGGCGCGTTGTGCACCCGCAACGTCTAACATGTTTGTGCGCCGCCATCGGACGCTGCGTTATCGTTGTTGGGTTTGTTGGTGGGGACTTAGTTGGGACACTTGCTGCGCAGGGCGCGTTCGGCCAGTACGCTAGCTACACGGCTGGTTACTAACAGCATTGGAACCGAGCGGCTGGATGACACTACGGCGTCGATCTATGCACTTTCATTACAGGACGAAACAAAAAGAGCTTCAAGCTACAAAAAAAAAGATTGTCGCGCATTTCGCGGGTCAAAGCAAGCAAAGTCGTCACCAGAACTTTTCGCTGTTATAACTCCCGTGACTTTTTTTCTCCCGAGTAATGAACGCTCTTTCTAAATTGGCTTCAACTTTTCTGAAAAAAAAAAGGTGGGTTCATTAGGTGAGTAAACGCGGTGTACAATATTTGCTGAGGTACACACATAGACAGAACAGGCTTTGTCGGTGTGGGTTCATATGTAATTGGTTTTCTCACTGCTTTAGCTTTCAGTATCCATTTAACAAACACTGATATTCTAGATATTTGTATAATTCATTCTTCTACAGGATGCAGCCAAGTTGTAGCGTGGCTCAGTTGCTGGCCTCGAGTTTTTTTGTACACTTTTCCATGCTGCTTTTGTGGCTGCCATTTTCCTTATGCTTTTCTTTCTTCTTTCGTGCAGATTGTTGGAACTGCACAAGGAAATCATCAGTGAACAGGACAACAAGGTCAGTTACACACACTGCTGATAGAAAAACGCTGTGGCTGTTCTGTGGGAGGGAGTGTAGACACAAGGTTTTTTTTCTGTTTCTCGTTGTGCAGACTTTGATCTTCGCCGAAACCAAGAAAAAAGTTGACGAGCTGACACGCAGGATGAGGAGAAGCGGGTGAGCATGACTTGGGTTATGGGATCGTCACTTTTTCATTTCGTTTTAATTGTCCTTCGCAAGAGTTCCGCCAAAACCCCATTATGCTGGTTAGTTGTCTTTGATCCAACAAAGGGAAGTGTAGTTGTGTAGACTGGCTTTTACATACAGATCGGAAGCCCGGAATTTAACAAAAAGAGTCATACTTAAAGAATACTGCGCTGATTCATAGAAAGAAAATTGATGGATAGTGGAGGAGGCAGCGGAGTGGGTCACAGAGCAAAGACAGGTTTAGGACATCATACAGTGAAAGCTCGTTAATTCACACCTCATTAATTCGAAATTTTGATAATTCGAAATGGTCGCCGCATTCCGGTTCGCAGTGCATAGGAGACCATGTGTAAAACGATTCGGTAATTCGAACAAAAATTGCTGCCTGTACGGATAATTCGAAGCGCGCGCCGTCGAGCATCATCATCGTCAAACACTAGTGGAAGCTTTTACGGTCGAACGACAGGTGGCACGACCAGTTTTTTCGAGCTTCAAGTGGCCTCCGAACAAAGGGCGAGCAAAGTATGGCCTCCAAAATCCAGGGAGCAATTTTTTTTTTCGTAGCCCTCCCGCTATCTCAGCGCCTGGCGCCACTTGTACGCGGGACCCACGGGACGCTGAGGAGTCGGCGGAGTAGTCCTAGCAGTCCTAGGCCGCTCCTGGCAGCGTCACTTTGTTCCTCGAGCACGTTGTTCGTTCACGAATGATTTTGTGCGCGGGTGACAGGAAGGACTTCGGCATTACGCTGCTCACTGCCATGCACAGGTTGGTGCGCGCATGGGAACAGGTGACCGCGACCACAATCGCCAACTGTTTTCGCCACAGTGGATTTGCAGCTGGAAGTGCGCAGGATAGTTGTGACGTCGACGTGGATGGGGCTGAAGAGCTCATGCCAGTGGCATTGCGCGACACTTTTCGGGGCGTACGTTTTGCCGATTATGTTGAAGTTGACACCGGTGCATCGGTGTGTGGTGCCCTGACTGATGAGGACATTATCGCTCAAGTAGCCGGTGCGCAGCCTGACGCTGAAGAGCCAGAAGGTGAGGAAGCGCCTGTGCGCCCGTCAGCTTCTGCGGTGATGGAGGCACTTAATGTGGCGCGTCTCTTCTTCAGCTTTGAAGAGGGTGAAGAGGATTCCCTGCGCCGCGTCCGCGCGCTGGAACAGGGAGCCGCAGCTGTGGCATTCAGAGAAAAGAAGCAGATGGTCATCACTGACCTTTTTGGCCAATAAATATTTTTCGTGCCCCCACCCCCAAAATCCACCCATTTTTGCTCACTTTCATTATTTCGAATTTTGTTTAATTCGAAATTGCTCAGCGTTCCCGTGGAATTCGAATTAACGAGCTTTTACTGTAGTCAAAATTAAGTTAAAGGAAGGGACGTGGGCAGTGCATGTAGCGACATCAAGGTTGGAATCTAGTGGAAAGTAAGTGTATTAGTGGGGGCTGGATGGGAAGGCAACGTTAGGTGGTGGGGATAGTGTGGCAGCAGCAAGCCACAAGGCTGAATCAGTTAAACGCAGAAGCCTTAGCATTGCAGGGGGTGCAGTCGGGTGGACGATCAGTTATACCTGATAGACGTCAGTTGGGCTGAGTAAACTCCAGGAGGAGAAAAAAAAAATGACAACTAATGAGTTGCTATGTTTCACAAGCTTGAAGCCGTAACCACTGCTTACTATTACAGGAGTTGCTGCAGCATGTTGTTAATTTGTAAACCACTTCTCGCACACTGTGTCGTTCGTTCAATGGAGATCCGTTGTCTTTTGTCCACCTCCATAGGTTGCCATCTATATGCATTCACGGGGACAAGTCTCAGTCGGAACGTGATTGGGTTCTCAATGGTGAGTGGTCTGTGCTGTTTAAAATAAAATTTCGGGGTAGTCTTGTTTTCTCGAGCCTGGAAGAAAGTGCGTGTGAAACTGGAGACTTTCTTTGGGGAAAGGAGCGCTTACGCTAAATGTCGTGCCTGCTTAGACAGAAGGTCTCTGTCTGACAGGACAGTGCCGATTTTGTGGGCATAATGAAACTTTATACCATCCCCTTTTTCTGCAAAATCTTGTTGTAGTTCAGTGCAGCAGAAGTTTTGTTCTTGAAACGTTATCCCAGTAGGACAGCGCGGCGATCGAGCAATGCTGATTAGTGACAAAATTAGTTGCATTGAGGGTGTGATATGGGAAATTTCAGCAGTGGAGCTATCTAAGCCTACCATTAGTCCTTGAAGAGTGAACATAAAGCTATCCCGCCATGAAGCGGCATGCGCTGTCTTCATGCTCTTCATCTTTGATCGACTCCCAGGACACGTGCGCTGATTTGTCAAGGAATGGCTACAGAAAAATAAGAGACTGACGAGGTGGTCGAAATTTCCGGAGCCCTTCACTGCAGCGTCTCTCATAATCTTATCAATCAAGAGAGACTGACGGAAATGCAAATAAATGAAGACAGAGAAAGCATAGTTGAGGGGGAAAAAAAAAAGAAGGCAGGCCAGCACAGCTCCGCAATCGCTTCAGGCTCTGTACTGTTACTGTGATTCCAGCTTCCTCAATAATTTTCTGTATTGATCAATGTCACGGTACAAAAATATTTAGGGGGAAAAAGTCCTGTCGGTGCAAGCGAACCAGTGACTTAACAAAAATTGTATATGCACACAGTGGCAGCACATGGCTCAAATGGTAGGGGGAGGGGACGGCTAGTCTTGCACAAATGAAAGCACCGAAGCAGCAAGTTGCCTCGAAAAAACTAAACTGTAATGAGTGGTTTGTGGGTTTGCGACTTCATACACTTGCCGCAACTAGTGGGGTCATCGCTCTTGGTTCTTGGTTAGTGGTGGTCGATTTTTGGCAGATGTGTCTCGTTTGCACTGTTAATTGCACAGAGGAAAGTGTTGCGGGTGCAGGTAAGTGCCAAGACTTGCAATGCTGCATGGGGTTGATGCTCTTACTGAATTTAGTTGCCTCGATTACAAATGAGAGTTCTTGTTGCTGATGCCTTGCTTACGGACATTAACCTTGCAAATGTCCTCTGGTCACTGCAGAGTTTCGTTCTGGCCGCTCGCCAATCTTGGTAGCTACCGACGTGGCGGCCCGCGGACTTGGTAAGCAACTGTCTTTTCAGCTGCCTTTCTTGCGATGCATTCTTTCTTTTTGCATGTCGTTCTGCACGGTAAGATCTTTGCCCTTCATTCTTATGTTAATAAATGCTTTCTTTGCTTTAAAAACGTGCTTTCTTTGGAAGCATGGGTGCCAAAGTTACCGTTCGAGCTGTATGAATCTGCGTGTGCATGTTGAGTCAATTAATCAGTAACACACGCAAAAACACTGAGAGGGATGGGGTGAGCAGGGATTTTTCGGGATCATGCCAATTACTTGATTAACCTAGGATGAACAAAAAAAAAATACAAGGTGGTTTGATGGCATAGATTTCAGAGATAACTGCTTTTAACAAGTTGCACAGTTTCTATGGTGAACAAGTGAAATAAAGTTCAGTAAAATGGAGGTCAGTGACAAATTTTTGATGGAAATGAAATGTTGGGACGTTCATGAAGTCATGTTACCAGTTTTAAGCTGACTGTGCCTCAAAGATTAAAAAAAAAGGCAAGGTTCTGAATGTTTTAATTTTTTTGTTGCTGTCAAATTTTTTTCAATATAACGAAGCAATAATGGGAGTTAGTTTTGTGTTGAGAAGACATCCTCGGCTATGTGTTTGACAAGTATGATAGTGCATGGCATCTTCATATTACCCTATGATTGTTGGCTTTTTGTTTGTGTTATTTAGGGTTCATAGCAGTCTTCTAAGCACTTGAGAAATCTTTCACTATTGCTTTCCAACATGTTTCGTAAAGGCGATCTGGTTTCGTAAAGCCCTTTGCTGCCTAAGCTCCTATGTGAGCATTTTAAGAATTTTCGGCAGGAAGTGGCGATAAAATGCTGTGTCTGGTGTCATCCTAGCATGTGCAGCACACAAATGTGGCTTCCAGTAGCCCTTGCAGCTTGTAGCGTGGGCACTAGGACACTGTTAGTCTCCTTGGAAGCTTTTCCTGATCCATCTACCTGCTCCTAAATTCTCATATAGCGGGGCATTTGTGTTATGGTCCACATCTGGTGCCATCGCTACGAGCAGCGTAGCACGCTTGGACCAGTTTTATGCAAATACCCAAGAAAATGTATTGGCATTATTAGCACAATTCGCATAGTTTTATAGTGAGGTAAATCATAAACTGCTATGAATCCTGTTTGAGCTGCTTTATTGTTTTCACTTTATTTTTTCCTAGCCTCTTTTTGTTTCTGTCCAGCAGTATCTTTAGGTACTCCCTCTAAAAGTGTCTTGAATTTGCTTCTTGATTGCTGTACATGTATGTCTCACACTGGCTCTAAAAAACCCAAAATGCTGCTCACAGAGAACTGTTGCGTCAAATGTATTTCATGCTGCATGTGTTAACACGTGTCCGGTCTGCACTACCGCTGGAGTATAGGTGGCGTTGGGAGTCTATTGCGCGGGACGACGCGGCGGCCAGTGTGGGGGAGCTGTGGCGTTTGCCGGTGTGACGAAGGAACTAGGCACCATGGACGACAGCGCGCTTGGCTTGTTTGACAAGTTGTTCCCCACCGCCCCCATGACTGGCTCACGTTTTCCCTTGCGCAAGTCTGGTCCTCCGGAGAGGAAAAGGAGTCTGGACCGTGTGTTGTTGGCTGAATGGTTTGATACGTGTCGTTGGACTAAGCAGTCCCGCTGGCACATATGAAAATTCCTTTCTGAAGACTTTCTTTCGGAAGACTAGTCGTCTGGTACCAGACAATATTGGACAAGCATATTCTGTGCTGCACACAGAAGTCATCGGAGGTTCTCGTAGGCCCCTGTCTTCGGGTTTGTGTATATGAACGGGTTCCATCATCACGACATAGCTGGAACTGATATTGATGTAGCCATGTACTGCAAATCTGAAATTGTGATACAGCCATCAAGTCTGAAGTTACGATGCTAGACAACGATCGCAAGAGGAACGGGTATAGCAGTTATCATTATAAGTAAAGGTGGCTGAAGTTATGCAGGGATGTGGTAACCTTTGTATGAAGACTGCTGAAGACGGTGGCCCATTGTGTCTTTAGGTACATGGCAGTATTTATTAGACTCTGAGTGCTATTTTTTTTTATATAAGGAATAGAAGATGCTCAAGGTGTCCAGCATCTTCTTTGGTAGTTCCACTAGTTTTCTAGGTTATGTATCCTACCCGTCTCCGCAGTTAACTTGTTGTCAAATGGTTACAAAGTCTGGAAGTTATGGCAGCTAACTGCAATTAGTGAGTGGGATATGCTAAGCACTGCTTTGTCATGGGGCAAATTAGTGGATGAGAGTTGGTCAACACGGAGCACTTTTGCAAACACTTTCTCTGAGGAATGGCAGTCTTCAGAAGTCATCACGCTAGTCACCTTCTGGAGACTGATCTTCAAGAAATGTCTTTGCGAACGTGTTACACGTCTACCAAGCCTTCAGCTGTTTTGTCCAACTGCACACACTTAACTAGGTCGTGTGAACAGTGGTTCGATGCCATGACTTCTTGCGTTGCTTATCATCAGACTAGAATAAGCTGATCACTGAAGACTAGTCTTCTGCAAGCGTATGTGCCTTGTTACAAGCGGAAGATGGCAAATTTTTTTCTAGTCACGCTCACTAGCTGTCATTGAACAGGCTTATTGCCTGGTTTTTCACCGTTGCATTGCAAGTTGATTTGAAGGCAGCTTTGTAGCAGATTAAGTTTGCTTCAGATGGTAACAATGTCTGATTTCATGCCAAACCACTCTTATATAGACTCGACAGACCAACTTTGGGAATGATGCATGCGTCAAACAAGGTCTTGAAGAATTTCTGAAGAGTTCATGCCTTCCATCGATTAGTCTGCATGTACCTACTTGGCTTAGTTGTCGAACATACAGCATCTCGTAAGCTAAGGTACTCATTATATCAACGGAAGTCATCCCAAGTATTTTCATGTTTGGCAGGAGAGTACATAACCAGGCTTGTACTGCAAGCACTCGCGCTCCAAGAGAACCGTAGATATCGGTGTTCATTCACTATTTGTCTGCAAGTTAGTAAACATATCTTGTATTTATTGAATGCATGGATGATGGAAAAAGTTGAAGTACTCAAGTCATGATCAGCCGACAGTGTTCAGAACGGTCATCGCGAGAATAATAATTTGCTTGAACATCAAAATGGCCCGGGATGTGGCTGGGGCAAAAACATGCTTATAAATGCCTTTCGTGAAGACTAGAGACATTCCGAAGACGAGAGCCTTTCGATCCTGATATTGTTATTTAGCATACATATCGTTACACAAGTCTATGCTACTGGTGTATGTGGCAGAATTCTTTTAAGTTTCCTATCCAGCAGTCTTGCTTTAGCACTGAGAAAACGGAATGCTGGTCGTAAGAACCTGTTAGGCCAATCATGTTGGGGCGCTAATACAAGCGGCAGAAACGTTACATGGAATGCTTCATTACCTACGATCGATCAGCAGTTGTAGGACAGGGTGAGATTAAGTTTATGGCAGGAACCTGGTCGGACTCGAAGCGCGCGAGCGCGAAGCTTGTTGCTTACCTTGTTTGCCGTGTGGCGCAGACGTGGACGACATCCGGTTCGTCATCAACTACGACTACCCGCACTGCTCCGAAGACTACATCCACCGCATTGGCCGGACGGCGCGCTCCAACAAGACGGGCACGGCGTACACTTTCTTCACGCCCAACAACATGAAGCAGGCCAAGGAGCTCATCGCCGTGCTCAAGGAGGCGAACCAGGCAGTCAACCCCAAGCTGTACGAGATGGCCAACCTGGCCCGAAGCGGCGCTTTCAGCGGCGGCCGCAACAGTAAGTGCGCCCACCGTTCTCACTACTTCCAAGAGGCCAACGGGGGCTCGAGGTATCTCTATGGCTTGGGGATTCGTTTTTATAGAGTTCAGTAGACTCTCTGTAATTGAAAATTTATTCCGAAACTACTGCTTAGTAATTCCTTTCAACGGAACGACTCGGGTAGTCTTGTTTAACAAAACTACTCGAGTGTATGCTTGTATTTTGCGCTAATGTTCATCACTCGGTAAGTGGAACTTCTGTTAAATGGTACATATATTTCCTGTCGCTTCAAGTTCCGTTTACCGAGAGTCTACTGCAATTGGCATTGTTTTAAAAACTGTAAGCTGCCTTTGCAACTGTGCGCCTCGTGATGGGAACTAGTTTGCAATTTTTTTTAACCTAGGCTACAACTTGCCTCTTTGGTAGAGAAAAGTTCGTAAGTCCTTGTGAGTAATGAGTTCGTAAGTCCTTGTGAGTAACAAGACTACAGCTTGCCTTTTTGAGGACACGTTGGCAAGTCCTTTTGATGACTTGTTTCCAGGTGGGTGACTGAGACTAGCTTTTAGGTATTTGTGATGAAGGCCAGTTTATATTTCTGACAAAAACACTAGAAGTTGCCTTTGCAATGAAGACTAGTTTTTGTGATGGAGAGTAGTTTTATGTATTTGCCGTGGTGACCAGTCTTTAAGCCCTTGTGATAGACCAGATTGGGCCTTTGTGACAGACTAGGGCAAGTGTTTCCAATGGAGTGAGTCTTGAAGCATTGGCCTGGGCACCATCACTTATTTTCCTCGTAGTGATCGCTTCAGCTAACGGGAGGCGGAGTGTGCAAGTGTGGACATACAGCCAACTGCCAATTTTTCAAACCTTCTTGAAAATTCGGACACTCTTGTAGCATTTCCATAAGTCGCATAGAGTGGCTGAAATCGCAGACTTTGTGCTCAAGCTGGAGGTCATAAGCTGCTTTAATTGAAGCCCCCACCTCTACTGCATTCATCATCGTGTAGGTTCGAACCAGCGGTTTCGCAAGTCTCTCTCTTTTTTTTTGCAGCAACAGTAACAAGTTCAAAAAGTTGCACTTGCTACAGCACCTAAATATAATGTGGGGTGAAGCAGACCGAAAATTCAAAGGGGCGGCGGTCATGATGCAGTGCGGAAATGTCATCACGGAGAAGTGCTAGAAATGTCTTGTTGGTCAACTATACTCCGGCCTTTAATCATATCAACCATAATGAATTGTTAGAAAAGCTGATGACATTTGGCATCGGGGTTATTCCTCAGCAGTTTGTGAGGTCCTCTTTACATAAAAAAAAGACGATAAGCACAAATGAATCTCTTCAAATAATCAAGTGGTAATCTAAAAACAGGCATTGCTCAAGGTAGTAGCTTAGGTCTCCTGTTGACTTCTGTTCAGGGTGTTTTTAAAAGAATTGCAGATTTTAAAAATCCTGACACCCAGGCTTCTGTCATTTTTGCATACATACTCGTATGTCAAGGTGAAAACACTAGTACCTAATTGCAGATGGTCGTCACAGAATTTCAAACTCTGAAGTGATCACGTCTGGCGTGCATGATGTGCGGCTTCTCTGTTACGTAACACCGAAACAACTCGTGACAGGGAAGTGGCGAAATTCGGAGCATTCGCAGCCAGTTTCAAGGTTGTTTTTGCTACTTGTTACTGTGTTCACCAGAGGCCACCAGAAGCGCCATATGCGCAGCCTAGACTGCTTGGTAAAATTGTGAAGAAAACTCGTTCCCGGCTTTTTAGAGTCTGTTATGTCTCGAGACGGCAGAGGAATTTGCAACACGGACGTTTGTGCACTCAAACCTAAATATAACGAACCCCGATATGCCAAAATATCAGTTATATTGAAGTAAATGAAAACTACTCCATCGATACACCTTACAACGAATTTTTTTATGTAACAAACATATTTTTGTGTTGGATGCAACTTTGTTATAATGAGGTTTGAGTGTACAAACGCCTGCGCCAATGAGCACATTCTGTATGTTGACATCTCTAAATGCGCACCGTAAGTGACCCCGCCGTCGAACATTCAATGAGAAAGCGAGTGGGACTGTCCCTTTAGGTTTATAGGCAATCTTTCTGTCGTTTGGATAAGGGCCTCTCCTGCCTTAGACTTTGACCACAATTACAGCCTAATTGCTGACATAGATTTAAAAAGCAGTGTCAGGGACCCCTTAACAGTAGTTTGTAAATCTTTCTATTTGCAGTTCGTCGTTTCCGAGCACCGGGGCAGCCACTGGCGAGCCTTGAAAACAATGACAACAAGCAGCGAAACAACGGCGGTGGCTACGGAAACAACCGCGGCGGTTACGGCGGAGGAGGCATGGGTGGGGCCCCCCAGATGCGTAGTGGGCCAGGAGGTGGCGGTGGATATCGCGGAGGTGCTGGACAGCAGAATGGATACGGTGGCGGAAGACCCATGCAGAACGGCTTCAACCGACCGCAGGTCAGCGTCTCTCTGGTGCAGTCTTCCTTTTTTGCGCCCCTTTTTCATTCCCCTTTAAAAGTCTACTGCGGGGTGGGTTGTGCTGTGGTCACATGAAATCGTTCATCTACATAGCGGTGAAGGTTCTTCTGCCGAGAGCGAACTCTTTCGCGAGCAAAGGTGGCAGGTCGAGTAAGAGCCCGCATGATCCAGCGGTGCCATAAGATGCGTCCCTCGTGGTTCCTCTCCTGAGTGGGCGAGACAAGCCGCTACCTCAGCACAAGCACGCTCTAATATCAAATAAGGAAAACAAGCAGTAATATTGAAAGCCTTCAGTGGCTTGTCATGACTTCATGCATTTGCATGAGCTGCCGCAGTTCTCTGCCTTCTTTGCCTTTTGTCCGTATTGCAAACGAAGAAATTTCTTCAAGCCAATCGCAATGTGTATCTTGCGTTGTACACTTGAACGATTGAAACGTATAAGCAGAGTGCATGTTTTTTTTTTTTTTTGTGCATAAGTGGTGTCTTGGTGGCTACATTTTTATGGGGGCAAGAAGCAAGGGCACTCTTTCAAAAAGAAACAAAAACAAAGCTCCAGGGTGTCAAAATCAACCAGTATTTCTCCAGCTGTGGTTCTAGTGCACGATACTTTGGAATTTTTGCAGTGAAAGCAGTTATGAGATCACAACTCGGGTCGCGCCTCACCGTAGTTGTCCGCCAATGTCCGTAACCACATTGCACGAAATTAGAAAAAAAACAACTAGCGCCAATGACACAGTGGAGCTCGAACCCGGGTCCGCTGGGTGCCAGCACAGTATTCCATTGAGCTACGCAGGTGCTTGTCACTTGTTGGCAAACTTGCCTTAGGCAGGCTTGATGTCGGCTAAGCAATCTCATTAATACGACTTATAAAGCATTTTAAAACGGCGAAAGAACAACCAGTCGTCGCACAATGCGAATAGCGTAACGAGTGGGCCATCCACTGCTCCAACCCATTCCATAAGCTGCTTCTTGTTTTCCTATTAATTGTGGCGCATACCCACTTCAGCCATAATTCCTCATCGTCATGCAGCCACTGCATGAACAATTGGCACAGAATTCCTTGCACTGTTTAGCGGATACCACGCTTCTCAGAAGAATGACGCTAAATAGCATAACGAATGACGGAACTTCACCAAAGATTTTTTATTAATAATGCTATAGTGGGTATCAAGCAAGTATGTTTGCAGTAGTTACCCAATGAGTTTAGAAAAGGCTCTGAAAGGCCGCTCTTCCAGCTTTCGCTGTGACTGCGCTGCACGTTACGTGCAGGCCTGGCATTTTTTAGTTGTTATTCTCAGTCTTTTTGGGATTTTGTCATACTTCATCCTAAGGTTCATATTCACCTGCGACTAGAACCAGACATGTGACCGGGACCGAAAAGGAACTCGAGGCGACCAATGTTTCACACCTGCATGCGACTTCTACCGAATTCACATTTGCTCCTATCGGGCTCTTCTTGATATTGTGCTGTAAAATGAGCTGGCGTCGTGTTCCTATGCATGCGATTGGTTCAGAGGCTTGCGACTGCAGTCACGTGACTGAAAAATCAAGCAGTGAATGACTGAGCCAAAGCAGTCGCCTTGCGACCCAAATGGCCATTCGAGACAATTTGCTACAAACTTACCCCTGTGATTCATGGTAGCTGAGTGAGCGAAAGAGCCTTAATGTTTGGGGTTGCGCTTCACTTCGTACAAAAATTACATGTCCGCAGATGCAGAACAATGGAAGCCAGCCTGCCTACCAGCGCAGCGGCCCCAGCGGCTACAACAACCAGCCGAAGCCGATGTCTGGCGGCCTGGCAGGCGGCGCTGGCAATCAGAATAGCGCAATGGCCAGTGGCGGAGGCGGCTACAAGCCAGCCCAGCAGCAGCAGCAGCAACAGGCCCAGCCACCGCCGCAACCACAGGCCGCTCAGCCTCGGCCATCTCCTCCTAACGGCACCGCCATGATGCACCACCCAACCCAGTACGGAGCGGCAGCCGGATTCCGCGCCCAGAGCATTGGTCCGCACCACGGCATGGCCCCGCAGCATTGCTACATGCCACCCCAGCACCACCAGCAGGGCTCCATGTACGCCGGCGGCTACGGACAGTACGCGCAGAACGCGGCGTACGTCCCGCCCAGCCTGTACTACCAAGTGCCGGCTTAATGCTGGCCCCCCCCATTAGGTTCTTGCTTGCGGGGTCGAAAAAACAAGGGCGTTTTGCTCTCTTTCTCTTATCTAGCCTTTTTTTTTTTTTCGTTCCTCTTTTGCCTACTCTGTCTTAGTGACTAACTGCAGAATCTTCTTTTTGTTCTTTTTTGAAATGTTCCTCCCTTCGATGTTTCCATTCCTTTTTTTTCCTTTTGTCTCAAAGTGTGGTTGCAGCAGTGATGTTCAGCCATGTTAGCTGAAGTGCAGTGCTGAAAATCTGTATTCTATTCGGTTGAAAGCAGGCAAAAAGCAGCAATGTTTAGCAGAGGCCTTGGAGCTCGACACAGCACACCTTGTACAGCTGACATAATTTTAATTGCTTTGACAGAATGAGCAACACAGACTGAAGTTTTTTTCACGAGTGTGGCAGACACACTCCGGTGGGTTGCTGTTGTGACATCGATATCTGTTGCAGACTGTGAGACGTCACGAGCAATGCGGCACATCTGAGTAGTATGCTAGCATGACCAAGGAACTAGTGCATCAGCATTGGCTCGGCAAACTGCGACGTCGCACGCTTTGTCACAGCCGCAACATGTTGCGACTGTCTAACGGTCACAACAGACAAGGAGTTGTACATCGGCGTTAATTCTATACTCTGCAACGTTTTATGCCTTGTCGCTGCTTAAGCGTGTCTCGGCGGTCTGATAGCGCAAAAGGCAGTTGTACTTCCACGTCGGCTCTGCAAAGTGCGAGGTTCCATGTTTCGTCACCAACAGAAACACTTGTGAGATCGATTCTTGTCTGTGAGCTGTGACGATTTCTGGCCCTGTCAAAGCTGATGTGTTGCTATGGCCAAGTGATGTGACCCACATGCTTTTTTTTTTGTTCATTACATGCAGTGCGGTGACGTTTGGAATCTCTTGGGAAAACGTGTGGCTGTCTTGTGATTTGTGTAGGTGAACGCGACAGTTGCGCAGAGTAGGCTCACGTCATCTACGATGATCGTGGCACGAAGCTAGTGCTTAAGGCAAAGTGAATGAGAAATTTAGGGCCCAATGTTCGCGTTCGGATGTTCTTTTGTGCTGGTTCTCGTGTGCGCGGTCGGCAATTTTTTGTTCATTTTTTATGTCACACATCCTGCTAGCAGTTGCGCGTTCTTCTTTACCATACCTTTATTCACTGCAGCCGAAATCTGTTATACAGAATGTCCAAACTCGAATTCGTGCCTACAAGATTCGCAGCCGGCATCGCAGTGCACGTGAACAGCTGCCACCGTAGTTTCATGACACGCTGAAAGTTGAACACACACTCACTCGGCCGGCGTAGATTGTCAGCGCCGAGTTGACTGTTCGTGCAGAAACGTCTTGGAACCTCTGGAGAACAGATTTTGTCGTCAATCTCTGCACTGCATTTCTTTCTCATGGTCATTTTTTGTCGCCTCCCTGCTGCTGCCGCTCGTGAGGGTATTTCTCTGGTCATCGTCGTCGCCACCTTCTGCTGATGCTGGAATGACGTTTTGTTTCCTGGGAGCATCTTATTGGTCCCTTTTCACCACCAGTTCCTTATTTCTCGCGATTTTGTTTTGTCGTGGCGTGTCGCGGCCGCTGCTTGAAAACTTTGTCACTGACAAGTCGCGTCGCCTCTGAAGGAGATTTTTCTTTTTGTTGTTGTTGTAGTTCCTTTGCTGCAACTGTGGGACATCGGTTATGTATAGTAAACGCTCAGGGGTCCAGTAAATCGAGGCGATTTCATTGTGCAAATGGACAAAACAGCGAAAGAAAGCTCGAAATGTACAAAGATTTGCGAAAGCAACACAAAAAAAAATAGGACTGCGCCTTTTTTTCACCAGAGCTCCGTCCCACGCCTCGCGCTCATCTGCGTGGCAATCCAACGCGGCTTCGTCGGGAAAGAGCCTGCGGAGGTAGCGTATTCCACTCTCGATGTGGTGTCTCAAGGGAGGAACGGTACCACTCTCCAATTGCCTCACGGGGTTTCGTGCAGAGACTTTTTCGCGTGTGCTCGGAGAAAATGGGCTTTTTTCTACTTTCGACACGTTTAAAGTAAAAGATGGTAGCAGTATCAACAAATGCATGTACTGCCACTTCATTGTTTGTAAACGTCAGTGGTTGGGGAACTGTTTGTCTCTACAGAAATGTTCTTTGAAGTGAAGTGAGAGTTATGTAATGATTGTTCTTTTCGTACCTGTCCTATAAGAAAGTCCTTTTTTGGAAGATACTGCTTTGTTATCTGATGTAAAACTAAATGCTGGGAGCGTTGATCACTCTCGTTTGCCGCCGCGTGTGCGGGGTCATCGGACCCCTCGCCCCATCATTGCCTTTTTTGAGTGCATTTCGGTCGTGCCGTTTCATGAGCGGCCACTCTGGGAAGCAAGAGCCAATGCACGTTTAGTTGCACGTTCCTTTCAGAAACCACACTTCCTGTTGGTTGTTGGTTTCGCATTGCGCAGGCATGCCACAAAGCCGGGCATACTGCGCACGTGTTGTCTATGGTGCTCGACTATGGCTGCACTCACTCGACTCGGGATTTGACTGCGCTGTCAGAGGACAAGCCGTAGGGAGAGAGCACAGTTCGAAAGCCGGGAAGCTTTCAACCATCGTCTCGACTCTGGATTTTACCATGGTACTTGAGCTCAAGCCACGAGTCTATGCTTCCATAGCAGTTCAAAAGCGATGGCATCATCGTAGGTTTCTCGAGCTTGGGAAAGAGAGCTTGGGGACGTGAATTTTTTTTTAAACTCTCTGGATGTTAACTCCAGATAAGACTGTGATATCAAAAATAGGCTTTGTAGATTTTTCCAAGGTCTTATATTTCTCAAGTCCTGAACCAAATGGGGCAGCATCGTCCCACTGCATTTCTGTGTGAGCCACGGCGGCACAGCACTTTTGCGGGCTTGCCCAAGTCTGTAGATAAATGCAATCATCATAGTCGTCTTCGTGCGCACTGCGTCTGAAGTGCGCACTCGTTCAGGACACACATCAGAGAGAGCATCGGTGCCGCGCTTTCGGTCGAATCGTGTTGTTCCATCGAGCAAGGGCTTTCAGGCAAGTTATGGGTTGCACGAACTTGTCCCAACATCGCGGTGTTTGTTTTCAGCGGCAAAGTTGGTTACAGATCTTCGTCCGCACGCTCGGGGCGGACTTTGTATTAGTGCGAGAGCGCAGTTTTTAAGCTTTTCATTTTAACTCTCGCTTACTGCTCGAACGGGTAAGATGGCGGACTTGTGCATTGCTTGAGTGACCGACATCTTTAGGCGTTTTTTATCGTGGGGCACACTGAACATTCTCCCACTTCTTGTCCCGCCTTTGCCGCGAGCCAATCCATTTCGCGGCTGTCGTGGCTAGGAGGGCACAGCGGGTGTTTTTAATGTGAACACAACTTCATCATGCCCTTCTGCTTCGATGTCATCGAGGGAGGGAGGTTCCGCATTCACTCCAGGGTAGCGAGAGTGTCTCTCGGCAGCATTCTTCAACACATTCTTTTCTTCTGACATTGGGGTAAGGGGGTAGGGGAAAGAAACTGTCGGGAGGCAAGTGCAGGAAGCGGACCTGTGCATGCTCGACTCGGTGGTTACCTGCCGGCGCAAGTTAGCGCTGCTCGTGGGACTCTTTGTAGCTCGAAACTCTGGTTCTGACCATTTTTTTTTTTTTTTAGCAAGAGAGAGACTGCTGCGTTAGCACTTCTGCCTTCACATGGCATTTGCAGCCAGTCGACATGTGGCATCTAATCTGCCACGCTCATTTTTGGACCCATGATAAGTTCGTCATCAAATCCACGAAGGGTTCAGTCGATAATGAGGAAGGAATCATCGGTGTCTTCGGCGCAGACCCTTAGCATACATTAATACATTGTTCAACGCAGCCACGGTGTCGGGGTGTGTCAAAAGGACTGTGGCCCATGAACGACGTTGGGTCGTTCCCAGTCAGACCGGTTTTTTTTTTTTTTTTTTTTTTGTACAGTTTGCGTCCCATGCAATGTTTCACAAGGTTCTTCTTCTGGGTGAGTTTTCTTCTTCGAGAAGCAGGCGCGTGCGCTCTGGCCATTGAGCTCATCATCGCGCTGCATCAATCACCTGTTCTGGACAGCCGTCATAGACTGGAGAGGGATATCAGGTGATCACCAATGTCACATGACTAAAAAAAAAAAAAACCTCGCCGTCGCCCAAAGTCTAGCTCCAGAGGCACGATAGATTGTTTTGGGAGGTCAGCGGCAGCATGAGTGGCCCCCTAGCGGAGCTGAACACATTGAGTCTAAGTTTTTCATGCTCGGTGACCATTATTCTCTTTATTTTAATCTGTGCTGGAGAACCTTCTGCCAGCAAACCGATTGCCTCTCCCTGTATTTCGCGTTCTCCACGAATCCGGTGTGTGCGTGTGTGCTTGCGACTGTAGATCACCGTGACGGTCGCTTGTGACCGTAAGTCGCTGAGTCGGTCACGTGCGTGACCTCTACATTGAAGCCTTACTGTCCTTTTTGCTTTTTTTAGCCGTCCATTCTCTTGATTTTCTCAACTGTTTTCACGTTGTGTAGTCTGAGAGCATTTCTGCCTGGGATTTACACTGCTGGCAGCAACCTTCTTGGTGTGTAACCGCCTCTTTTTCTGTCCGTAATTAGCATAGATGTCAGAGCAAGAAAAAAAACTTATTCCAGTCCACCTGGTTTCACTGGAGTTTACGCCAATTCGCCGAGTTGACAAGACTAGATCCTCGGTGTCTGGCGCTTCCTTCTCTCCTGAATTCTCGTTTGTAGTAAGTCGTGTTATAAGAAAAAAAAAGACGTGACCTGCTGCAAAAAAAAAAAATTCTGTGTCGTGCGTGCAATTTCTGGTCTTGTAGACTCGTGTATGCAGTTTTACTTTTTGTTCTCGGTGATAAGAGTGTTGGTGACTCCAAGTTCGTCTTCGTTATCTCTCTCAAGGAACATGTATTCATGGCACTTCATTTTTTCTTGCAAGGTGGCGTTGCCCGAGTGTCTCAGTAGTCCACCTTTCAGTTTATGGAACACTCCGTGCTTTAGTTACACAAGTTTTGTTCTGCAAGTTTTTTTCCGCATCTGGAACCAATATTTTTGTCCTTGGCAGTGTTGTAGGTGTTCGTTGCTTTTTCCTTATTCTCTTAGGTGCACGAAATAATATAAAAGCTGTGTGCTTGTGTAAGTGTAACCTGTTCCTATAGTTAACTTGGACGCCTCAAGTTGTGGGGAGGGGGGGGAAAACGGTACGCATGGAAATTGATCTATCATCCATGGCTCATTTACCATCGCCAACAGCAAAGTTTGGCGGGAAGGACGACATGGTGGGAGTTCTTGTACATACCTTGTATATAAAAGCGATTGTGTACCAAAGCTGCGCCACCAGGTTGTTGCTTCTCAACCGAGGGAGAAGAAAAAAATTGCACTGGCTCACCCTCTTCTCACCGTGGAAGAACTGAGGCTCATATTTTGTCACGTTTAGAAAGAGTTGTGGAGAAATAAAGAGAAAAATGTGCAAACAGCTCTCAAGTTGTTCGTTTTTTTTTTTAACGCCACTTTCCACGGGCTGCCAATGGTGCCCGATGCGGTGTAGTTCTAAGTAAGCACTGAAGTGTGTGTGTGAAACAGTTCATATCAAGAGTGCTTAGGGTGTAGCTATACGAAATCATTTTTACTGCCCCCCACCCCCCTTCAGTTTTTTGTTCAACACAAGGTCCAACTTCTGCTTTCTGTATTTACTGAAGTTTAAAATGCCAGTGCTCAGAACACCGTTTCAAAGTAAACTTTTATTGCTCTCTCTCCACGACGATTCTCCCACAGAACCGAGCAGCCATGCACTAAGTGGATCACGAGAAGTATCGAAAAATGGTGCAAGGGGGGGGGCACTTATTTAAGGGTCGGAGAATCTATAAAATACCGACAAATTCTTTTTCTGAAATGTGTTGCTGTCAGCATGATGGCACTGCACATTTTTCGCTGCAGTGTGTGTTGAATTAGAGGCTCCTCATTACCGACCAGTCTCCGTTTCGGTTTTAGAGAGCTCCAAAAAACAAGCCTTTGAGTGGAACTAGTGCCAGCTAGTGTGTGCAAGGCTCGACCTCGTCAGCAGACAGAACAGTGACTCACTTCTGCACGGTCCGAATGAACAGGTCCTCCTCTCAAACGTAGCAGCAGTCTCTCCAAATGCAAAAATTAACGCTTGCCAATGGCCGTGTGCTTGCCAGAAGCTGCCAAGTTACGGTCTGCTGGTGCAGAAGCTGGAAAATTAAAGAAAATGGCGTCTTAACTTATTGAAGCATAGTCTGCGTGAACGAAGTAGGGAGGTCACCAAGGTTGCCCTTGAGGTTGTCAATAGCGCCAGGGAGTGGATCGCTCATGCAAACTTCAAAATCAATGTAAGAAACCATCCAAGCCATATTTGCTGTTCATATTCTGGAAGTGATGCATGCTCACGGGCCTTGATCCCACAGGATATCTCTGCTGCGAAATTTTGTGTAAGTGCCCCTTAAGTTTATTTACTTACCTCTGAGGGGCGAGCTGTTAGGCAAGCTGCTAACGTGTGAGGGTAGAAATGGGAGCAAATACAAATTTCTAATTACTTTTAATTTTAATTGTGTGAACTTTGCTATGTAAATAAACTGGTCTTGGGGCATAAATGGCGTCCTATATTTCGACATTGAGGTAGCTGCACGTATAGCATGTCGCTTCTTGCACATCACTGACTGACCGATCATCACATAAATTGTCTGCTACAACTATGTCTTGCGGCTTAATTCGCGAAAACTAGTCTAGAAGTGGCTTCTGTAGGTTCTGCGTGCATAGTGTGAGGCGATGTCCATTCATTCCAGCGTCCGCCTGCCGATTCGAACAATTTTAACATGATAGCATTAAAGAGCTCGTTTCGCAGAAATTCTGTGGTAGGTGTCCTTTGTTGGGAGTGAAAGACCATCTGGTCTGTGAGCGAAAAATCAAGAAGTATGCAAATAAGAAATAAAGATTGCTGGGTACGAGAGAGGATTGAACCCAGGCCGCTGGGTGGCAAGCAGCTAGGTGTTCTACCACACATCCACGTGTCTGGTTGAAATTGTAGTCAAAATAACTTGCTCGACCTGCCTGGAAATACAGTGAAAATAGCATTCATGCTTTACAAGCACATGCGTCCTGTATACAAGCTCCTTCACACAACGTAATATCACTAATATTCTATGCTGGTAGCGTACGTTGCTGTCAGGCATCAGAACATGTGGTTATCATAACTACTTCGTACTTCAAAAAAATGGCCCCTCCCTTGCAAAAGACACATGTTACTGCACATATTCCCTTAAAGGGCCCGTAAACCAACCCCGACAATACGAAGAACGAGGGCGTCATTCTCCCTCAGCGTCTCCCGTCCTATAGTGACATGATTCACGACGCCGGCTGTTTGTTCACGTGACGTCGAAAAGAAGTAAGCTCTCGATTGGTCAATATACAACAGATGTCTGTTGCGAATTGTCGCGCGCCTGGTTTTTCCATGCACTTGCACACTCGCTCCGAGTTTTTTCGCACGACTGTTGTGCGCGATACACTGATTTCGCAGTTTGTTTTCTGGGCATTGCGACCACACAAAGGAAGGTATAGCAACGTCTAGTCGAAAAGCACCAAACCCTGACAGGCTCAACACTGCAGTGCTGACAGTGGACGTCCTTTTGGAAGAACTAAATGGCGAGAAGGATATAGCACTTGTAGGAAAGGTAGCGAAGGCGAGAAGTAAACTTGCCGCGGCTTAGGGGCCCTTTGAGATCACGTAGTGGGTGCATAGCAAGTTCGAAAACATTTCGCATGCATACATAATTTTTCATTGTTTAAAGAATGCTACTCATTACACAGAATTCAGCCATACGTGAAAGCTTCACTGTCATAAGCCACTGTCAACTGTTTCGATTACATTGTAGTAGTCCACAATTTAAACTTCAGTAACATATCATACAGTAAAAAGTATTTATTTCAAGTTCATTTCAGTTATTAGTACAGAAAAGGGAACATCGTACAAAATAAATATACAGGAGGAGGTCCGAAAACGCCAGGCTGCAGGGGGACCTCCTGTTTAAAATAGGATAACAAAAACTACTCAATTAGCGGTAACAGTGAAAACAGGAAAATTTGGTATGCAATAAGTGGTTGAAGTAAACAGGGCATTACTATCGCGTTCAAGTCTTGAAGGCGAAGCTTAAGGGTTCCCGAATTTTTTATAGTCCCCTTGGGAAGTTTGAATTAAGGAGCTTTTATTGTAAAAGTGCAGCCAAACTAAACTATTGCTTCTCATGCACACAGGTGCCATCAACAGAGCAGTAGGTCATACCGTCCAATCAAATGGACAATTCACAAATGTGCAGTTACCATTGCAAATTGGTACTTCTCGACGAATGCAATCCATACTAAACGGATACATTAGGGGGAATGCAGGCACTATCCAAACTAAATTAGCACATCTGAAGTGCGCACGCGCAGTTACCATCTTTGGCTTCACAGTCGCATCATTGGTACACAAGTTCCACCTACAATAATTCTCACTACTCATGAACACAGCTATAGTGTCATAAAAGCCAAACGGAGAAGTGGTTGGGCACAATAGGCATATACTAAACGGACACACTCTTGTGTACATGTACCATCCGGACTAGATGGACACATCTCAAGTGTGCAGTTTCTTTCTCTAGCTTGGTAGTCGAGCCTTGAGTAAACAAGTGCCGCCAAAACGATACTGACAGCTCCGTGTAAACGAGTACCACCAAAACCAAATGGACAAGTGCTTGTGTACCATCCAAGCGAAAGGACAATTCATAAATGTGCAGTTACCTTGGTTCATCAGTACTTCTCAAGAGGAGAGGTGCTATACATACTAAACGGACACACGGGTGAAGTGCAGATGCTCTCCAAACTGAATGGGCACATATCAAGCGTGCAGTTACCATCTCTAGCTTCACAGTAACATCTTGGGTACACAAATTCTACCAAAACAAAATTTTCATTTCTCATGAGTACGGGTGCCATCAAAGCCAAATAAATAAATGGTTGGGTACAATTTAAGCAATTGGGCACTTTTCAAGTGTGCAGTAATTGTAAACGGGCATATACTAAATGGACGCACTCATATGTACGTACGTACATGTACCATCTAAATGAAATGTACTCATTTCAAGTTTGTAGTTATTATCCTTAGCTTGACGGTTACGTCTTGAGTATGCAAGTGCCACGCAAACTAAACTCACTCTCGTTGTGTTCAGGCGTGAGCAAAAGTATGCAGACCATGGGATCGCATGGCAGAACGTATCAGTGCGCGATCTACTGACGTGACATTTACTGGGGTGTATGCACATCTAGTCGTTATCAGGTTGTCTCTCAGATCGATTTTTTTTACAGTATTATGGAGCTCGTAGCCAAAATGACAATTGAGTGTCGCTTTTTTCGTTCCGTTGAATCTGCGCCATTCGTTTACGTAGCGGTTGCGGCAGAGCCAGTTCAAGCGCCAGGATCGTGTTGTTTCTTACGCCGGCTGGTTCGCCTAAGCATAGCTAGTGTCATATAACCTAATGAAGCCAAGCGTACAAAATTGTGTTTTCTCAGCCCAGCTTGCCTGTGTTGCGTGAAACCAAGTTAAGTTTAATTAGCCTATTTAAGCGTAGCCAAAACTAATCAAGCCTAGATGAGCATGATATCGCCTAAAACAGACTGGCATAAGTAGGTTTAATTAGGCTGATTCTAATCAAATCTATTCTAGCTTGCTGTCTTTATGTTAAGACAAGTTGAGCTAAGCTTATGAGCCCAGGTGAGTCGAGGTAAGTATTGCCAATCGTAATTAGACATATTTGATGATCGTATCACTTCTTATGGCCAAGTATAATTTGTCTAAATAAGGCAAACCTAATTGTGACAAAGTAATCTAAGGCGAGTCCCCATGAGCCCAGAAAAGCCAAGCCCAGGAAGAGACCAATTACTCCTTGCCGACTCGATACTAAATAAGCTGATATAGGTTTAACAAACATTGATTGAGACACAGATATCTGATTAACACTTTGAAACGCCATGTACACAATTGTGTACATTACTCGTCTTCACTATTTGCATCAAGCAGATGTTAAAAAAGAGCAAGATATTTTATACTTTGGATGAATTGAACCTCCTTCATAATAAATTAGTGTCTGCTTAATCTCCTTTTGCCGTGTGCAGATACAAATGATCACTTTTCTGAAGGCACTACCACGTTTGACGAGTTGCGCGACGTGCCCCTTCCTGCGAGCAATGTGAAAAGAATTTTTCTGTGCTCAAAATGAACATAACACAAAATAAATTTGTACTACATTCCTTGCCTGAGAGCTTATTTTATTTGTCAAAAGTAAGCATCTATGACTTTATGGTAAAAAGATATTCAATTAAAAGGTAATTCAGATGAGTTGTTATAACACCCCTGAATTCAAAAATTATCTCCTTATTTTTGTCGCAATGGCACATTTAGTGCCTTGCAGTAATGTTGTAGCAATTTGATAGAT